CCTCTTCTGAGGGATGTCAGTCTGTGCCCTACCTCCATGTGTCTGGGTCTACTGTATTCCTCAGACTGTTATGTTCATTATATTCCGTATATAAGTGAGATCATGTGGTATTTGTCTTTTTCTCTTGCACCATTTTAAATTGAACTTCTAGTTGAAGTCCGGTTCACTAAATGTGGCAGAATACACTTTAAAAACAACTATTAAAACCAGAATTACGCAGAAGTTAGCAGTACAAATCTGTTCTTAAATATCTAGAAAGATTCTGATATTTTCTAGCATTGTCCATAATATCATACTAAATGAATTTTTGATCTATAAGAAGGAGATTTTTTAGAGACTATAGGGCTACATGTTGAGAATGTGTCAATACATGTTGGTTAATTTGGTAAATTCTTAAAAGTCATGTTTCTGAGTAAAATTGGTATATTTGGTATATTCTGAATCTTCAAAAGTAAGCTAGTGACTTTTATATAAAGTTTTTCTTTTATTTAAATTTCAATATGATTTTTAAACAGAACATAGTACAAAGTACAATTGAAATAGAGCTTAGAAAATATTCAAAGTTTATTTTATCCCCTAGATATTTCTCTTGAATGTTCTTAACCCATCTTTCCTATAATCATTTAATGATTTTTACTAAACAGAATTTACTTATTTTTCTTTGAGAAAGTGAAAACTGATATATTTTACTCCAGTTTGTCTAAAAGCAATGGATTTTACTCTATAAACAAAGAAGAAGATATTTAAGAAAGACACATTTGTGTATAAAGACACATGTATGAAGAAAGATGAGCAGAAAGTTAATTAAAACATTAACTGTGGTTATCATTGGATAGCAAAATTATATGTGACTTTTTTTTTTTTTTTTATCCTCACGTGAGGACATTTTTCCATTTTCTGTTCAGTTAGAGTGGAAGGGAGAGAGAGGGGGAGAGGGGGAGAGAGAGAGAGAGAGAGAGAGAAACATCTATGTGAAAGGGACACATCGAGTGGCTGCCTCCCACATGACCCAACCAGGGCTGGGGACAAACTGCAACCGAGGTACGTGCCCTTAGCGGGAACTAAACTGGGTCTCTCGGGACCGCAGGCCGATGCTCTAACACTGAGCCAAACCGGCCAGGGCACGACTTGTTTGTTTTTCATATCTTCCTCCTGCATTTCCCAAATTCTCTTTAATGAATCCATTCCATATTACAGTTAACATTTGAACAACACAAGTTTGAACTGCACTGGTCCACTTACAGTGGATATTTTTCAATCTCTTCGTATCTTGGGATTTTGCATCCAGGATTCAACAAACCACTCATCAGAAACAGCATTTTCATTTGGGTGGCCCCACTTCACCCCTACGTTGTTCAAGGGTCATCTAGTTAAACAATTAAAAGTAAGAGAGGCAAATGGCAAACTTAAAAACAGAAATCCTAGGTGACTTCTTTCTCTAAGTAACCGAGATTCTTCGTATGTCCCAAGGGCACTTTCCTCCCCCGACTAGACAGTGTGTGCTCCCAGCACAAAGAAGGCAGATGGGGTGACAGTACCCAAGCTAAGAGGAGGGCGATTCCTAAGGATCTGGGAGAGCTTTGGCATCTTCGAGGGCACGTTTGCGTCTCTGTGAAGTCACTTCAAGAATTTTATGAGTCTTAGACCTTACTGTGTTGAAATAAATTGGATCCTTTCCAATGATCATTTTAATTAAAGGTGTTCTTCGACTTCATAGTATTTTGTCAAGGAAGGGCGCTGAAATAAAAGGAATTTTTATTTAGATGACAGCATGGTCAACAATTGAACTACCCAGAAGATATATGCTGATAACCATGATGCTGACATCACATATAAATCACAAGTTTAAAAGAAGTGTTTATTGCCCTTTGTCGGGGTAGTTATGTAGGGCACAAAACAGTATCGCATAAATTGAGATGCTGAGTAGATAAGAGAGATTAATGAATAACTTGACCATTCCCTATTTCTTCTTTTGTCAAAGGAAATGTGTTCTCAGAGTTGAGCAACTAATTAAAAAGAGCTTCTTCCTAGAAAATATACAAATCCCCCATGACACACAAACTCTTTCCTTCAGTCTCTTTTCTAAACCATGGTTGTGGCAGGAGAAGGTAAACAGGATCTGGCAGTTTGGAGGAAGGTCAGCTTCAGATGCACGTCCTCCTGCCCTTATCACAGTCAAGATGGAAAGGATGTACTGTATAGTCTAAGGAATCCAAGTGCTTCCTTGGCCATGCTGAAGCCTCTCCTTCCTCTTTTTTAAGTCCAGGAACACTGTCTTGTCACAGATGGACCCTCATCAGCTCACCTGACACTCCCAGTAATTACTGCCACCTGACCCTTCATCATTGTTCTCTTTCTAGCTCAACATCATATGTCATTATTGAGCTTTTTTTTTTTTGGTATGTGCCCCTAGCAGGAACTGAACCCGGGACTCTCTGATCCGCAGGCTGACGCTCCAACTGCTGAGCCAAACTGGCCAGGGCATCATTGAGCATTCTAATGTGCCTTAACATGTGGCTGTGTCTTTGGAGTCTGCCTCTTTACCTATATATCATTCTATCTGACCCTGTACCTGGCATGAGCACACAGGTTTTCAGCTTGGTACAGACTCTAACTCACTCTGTCTATGAAATGTTGTCACAAATGATTAACCTTCTCCTGTAGAATAGCTATGGTCAAAATTCCATTTTTTTTTCTTTCATTGATTTTAGCGAGAGACGAAGGGAGAGGGAGAAAGAGATAGAAACATCGATGAGAGAGAACATTGATTGGCATTCTCCCCACTGGGGACTGGGCCCACAACCTGGGCATGTGCCCTGACTGGGAATCGAACCAGCAACCTCTTGGTGCATGGGTCGAAGTTCAACCACTGAGCCAAACCGGCTGGGCTCAGAATTCCAATCTTAAAAATGAAAATTTGAGATAAATTCATTAAGGAAAATTTCTACCCTTTTATTAAAAGGTGGCCAACAGTCTATGTACAAAATTTGAGATTCACCTTGGTGTAAAAAAATGCGTCCAAAAAGTTGAGGGTAAATAAAATTTAGGTAAATTGACCCTCAAATATTTACCAAATACTTCTTATTTGATTAAATCTATACTTGTAAATTTTGGGAAATTTAAAAATATGGTCCTTACTCATAAGTTAATTTAGCATGGGAGAGAAAAAACACAAACACAATGTATGGTACATTATAAGTGACCAATCAATGTTTGTAGAATAATGAATGAGCAAGTGAATGAATGCAATAGAGTTACTAGGTAAAAAAGAACAAATGATATGTTGAATACTGTGGGATATAATTATACACAGTTTTTGACAATGGGAAGAATGGTTGTCATTTGGTGAAACCCAAACCATATCAATGTAATCTCAAAGTATAACCCTACAAATGTAAAATAATATGCAAAGTAGCTTATCAATAATAACCACTGGGTGGAGGGTATTACAAATAATTTTTATATTTCTCAGTATTTTCTGTTTTCAGTAACAAGTACATATTATTCTTGAAAGAAAAGAATATATTGTAAAAATTGGGATAGACAGGAAATATTCTGAGTTCCAAAGAGGGACATCTCTTTGGACTGGAACTATTTGTAGAGCTGCTTGTGTCAGTGAATCCTGAGCTGGGTTAATGCAACTTAGATCGGAAGAAAGGTGGCAATGTGTTGTAGGCAGGTAACCCAGCAGGAATAAGCCAAAATCAAGTGATATTTTAATATTCAGTTCTCTGTTGTGTGCCAACTTTGGGTTGTAGTGTAATTTCCCTTTTCACCCCAAACTTTTAGCAAACAGCTGAACATTTACTATACAAAAGCTTGGGGTAGGGCTACTTGAATAGGTAGAATGAAGGGATAAGACATGCTAACAAACCCAAGTGGAGGACAGAAAAGAGAGAGCTGTCATAGGAGTCAGGTGAGGGACAGAATTCAGAGACAGTGGGAAAGCAGGGGGAGGGGTAAAGCTAAAACCTCCACTGGGTCCGTAAGAGATCTGGCACATTTGAAGGAAGCTGAAGGACTTTGAGGCACACCCAAGTGGAAAGTGCTTGGGTTCCACAGGAAAAGAAAACCTTATTAGTTTTCAAATGTTCATAGCATAAATGTGTTATCACAATTAGCTAGTTAATAATATTAATAATAGGAAGAGAGCAAAGGGGAGGCCAGACATAAGCATGGTCATCTGGGCAGCTTCATAAGGAAACTACAGCTTCATTCTCTCCAGGGAACCACCATATAATTCCCTGCAGATCACTGGGGGAAGGGATTGAACAAAGAGGGAGATGGGCGCATGCACAGTGAAGTCGGGTGATATAGTCTAGCCTGTCAGTCTAGCATGGGGAAAAATGGATCAGCTAGAGTGGGGGGTGGACCCCAATGCAAGCCCACAAAAAACTAGAAATAATCCATGGGAAGAGTTCTCTCTCCCTTGTTCTGTTCTTGTGCTCTGGAACTCTTGCTCCATGACACAAACTTACCTTGTGCTCTTGCCTGTTCTTTCTCTATAGCCATGTGGCCTTAGAAGCTGCATGGCCCATGTCCATGTGGACACCACATGCAGGATGCTGGACTAAACTGGGCTTTAATATGGAGAGGAGACTCTGGGCAGTGGCCGTAATTCTAGCTCTGCTGAAGATAAGATTGGACTTCTTCCATAGTGGGATGAAGAGAGATTGGAAGTTGGAAGGGAATCCCCTTAATTTTACATCATCAATAAAGCTTTCCATGCAGACCCACCCTCCTGTGGGGGCCTCAGGAAATTCTTTTCCCAATGGCACCTCCAGAACTCCACTTCCACAGATGGCAAGTGCACAAAAATATAGGAATGCTTTGAAAAACTGCCTGTGCACAGCACTGACAGTATCCTCACCCCAAATCACTGGGAATAACAATTATCCAAGGAAAGACAACAACAACAACAACAACAACAACAACAATGGTGTTTCCAGATCCTGAAGTACTTTCGAACATCTTTGGTAACAGTGATCTACTGGGTGCAATATCATATTTAAGTCCTGTTTCCATTTTTGATACTTGTGTTATTGAAAACATTTTTAACTTGATTTGTGTGTTAGGTACCTGCTATGTTCCTCATTTGTTTGCAGACATTGAGCATGGTCACAGCTGACTTTTTGGGGATATAAATACATATTCACTTCTTTAGGTTTTTCATCTGTATTCCTGCTAATTGGCAGAGGAGAAAAAGACGGGAAAAAATAACAATTACATCGATTTTAGTTTTTAAAAAAGGTAGTCAGTAGCTGTCATTTTGAAATTGAGGGCATAATTTGTCTCAGGTTTCCCATATCTTTGTAAGGTATTTAAGAAGAAAAATGTAACCAAGACACACTTTTCTAGACTAAGTAAAAACTTGGATTAGAAAATAATACTAAAACCATCCTACATGTTGTGTTGAAACTAAACTGCTTAGGGACAAGTGCCCACACCTTAAAACAACACATTTCTCTATTCCCAAAGTTATATTGATTAATAAATACTGTACATTTAAGCTTCACAATGTAAACAGGTTTGCCTTGTAGTCTTACACAAGGCTTCCTTTTCTCCGGATAGTGAAACATATGTCTGTATTTTGTACAATATCTAGAGTATGAAAAGTAGCAGTTGTTGTCATGAAGGTATATGAGAACTGACAGTAAAATAAGTATCTAATCACTTTTAAATGTCAATAATAGCATTAATGTATAAATAACAATAGCTAACATTTTGTGACATTCATCATAAGTGACACACTCTGTTAAGTTGAGATAGGAACTGTTATTATCCATATTTTTCAGGCTAGTAAGTGAGTGTGAACACAGGTCTTAATGATTGCAAAGCCCATGGCCTTACATGATATGCTACACCGCGTCTTTGGGGGTTATTTAATATAAATGAATGATAAGTAATACCAGTACCTTTAGACTTCAAGTATGCATTGACATTAGGGATTTAAGAATGAAAGCACAAAAAGTAAACTCACTCTATCACTTTCTACTATTTCCTCATTACTCACTCTTTACCCTCTCATGGAAAATAGATGAGGACACCAGTTGAGACAAAAAAGAAAACTGAGTCAGGAGCCAAAGTTTCCATAGGATGAAGAAGGGTACATTTGAGATCCATGCATGAGGAAGTAGAAGATTGTACATCCAGGTGGTATGGGCTTCCAAGGAGCAGTGACGATGTAGTTAGATGAGCAAATGACCTGAAAGTTGTCTTGGATGATGAGTAATACATAGGGTGTGAGAGAATACAGCCTTGGTGAGTATATGTTGAATGAATGGCTATCTAGTTGGTTAATGGTGGTAATGAGAGATTGTTTACTGTTCTACAGAAGAATATTGATTCAATATACCTGAGTAGTTAAAACAGATACAATTATGTAGATGTGAGGAGGGGAGGTATATATGAAATAAAAGGAAATATTCCAGCTTTGTATTGGATACTGAATTTTCAGTAATACAGATTATGAAACGTACAACTAAAATTGTCAGTGGAATAGCTGAATGCATTCACGATTTTGAGTCAGATAATTAGGACCAAAACCCGAACTCTTAACAACTTCCTACTGGTATATTTTAAGCAAGTGATTAAACTACTCTGATTCTCAGAGTCTTCTCTGCTTTGGGATAACAACATTTTTGTACTTACTTACCTCACAGAGTTCTTTGAGGAACAAAGAAGACAATAAATGATAAAGCATTATGTAAACAAACATGTTAGCTTTTGTTATTCTCATTGTCAAAACTGGTAGAATACTGCACATAGTAGAGGTAAAAATTCATTAGATAAAAATTATTTTGAGAGCCCACAGAATGAGCTCATTCTCAGGGGAGGGCGATGAGGAGTGTTGTGGAGACTAAGAATATAAGAAATAAATTCATAGAGTGTGGGGAATTCAAAGAAGGTAGAGGAAAGAAATGACTAGATTATTGGCAAAAAGTTCTGCTCTGATACTCTAAAAATTTACATTCTCAGCCTTTGTGAAATGTTAGAACTTCAATTTCTATAATGCTTCTTTAGGAGACTGCACTTGTTTAGAAAACTGTTTACTTAAATTTATAAACTGTTTCTCTTCGGTATAGAATTTACTAATTAAACATATACCATTGATTTCTTTGACTTTGACCTCACTGATTTTATTATAATTAAACCAACTAATACAAAAGCTGTGTATGTTCTCTTCCCAAAGATGTTTCTTTATTTAGATCTTAATTCTTGAAAGGTTTTTGTAAGTTTAAAAGCTAACTGGTGTTTATAAAAGATTTATTTTTTTAAAATACCCAATGCAAAGCCTCAATTCTTCTGCACTGGCAGCCTCAGATGGGTCTACCAGTGGGGCACACTATCTAACTTCCAGTTCCCTATAGGGTCTGTGTGTAGGGGTGGAAGTGTGGAATTGGCTCAGCAAAACTGGGTTACCAATCGCCTCATTAACACCTTTGGAAAAATTTCTTTTGTCTATTTTCTCTTTTGCAAAACTCAAGTCCTTCTTAAAATTCTAAGCTTTTAAAAGAAGCATTCTTAGAGGGGGGTCAATGGGGGAAAAAGGGGGACATCTGCAATACTTTCAACAATAAAAAAATAAAAGAAGCTTTCTTAAAATCATATATATATATACACACATCTATATGTGTGTATATATATACACGATGTTAAGCAGTCTTAGCATCATATATATGTATTTCTTTTAGTGTGAATACTTCTCTATGCATCAAAGGCCTTCTTTATAAGAATTACTACATCTATTTATGTAGTACTTTTTTTTTTTACATTTCATTTACTTCTCTTTGGCTTGGAAGAGTAGGCAAGTACAGTAATAAACATTTTTCTAAGAGAATATGGCTGTACTGACCTTTTTTTGCACTTCAGAATCATCCAACAGGAAACAATCATGGATACAATAAAGAAGACCACACCAAAGGATGTGCCTAGACAATAAAACAAGGTAATTAAATGCATGGAAAATATAACCCATAGTTTTTAACCTCTGTCTTAATATCTAGTCTCTCTAGAGATTGCCAATAGTTTTTTTTTTTAAAGTAACTAAATTGGTTTAAAAAACACTGACACAGGCTTACCTTTAAGATTTCTCCTCTGCTACTTGTTTAACCTGGCACACTAGTGTTACTTTTACAGGGTTATAGGTAAAGAGTGAGCAGAGCAGTTTTGTAACCTTTAGTCCAACAGCAGCCTTTCTTTCACCAAGTACGTGAGAACAGCACTGGGTCTCCCGGGCTCCAGCTCTCCAGGGCCCTGCACATGTCTCTTGTGTCAGGCACGAGAGCTCTTCTGTGCAATAGACTCTACCAATTCCCTCTGAAGCAAACTCTGTCATAACACTATTCCTGTTACATATTCAGATCACAGAAATGGACTTAGAAAAGTGGTGTTTGTGGCTTCCAATTTATTCAATTGTTTATAAAAGATTTTTATTTTTTTAAAAATACCCAATGCAAAGCCTCAATTGTTCCTCAGGTTGTATTCTCCAGCTACAATAAAATAAGATGAATGACTAGTCATTTTTAGTGGTTCAAAGATAGTACAGAACCTTTGAGAGAGGACACTCACTCTATATGCATATGAGGATACCAGTTTTGCCCTGAGTTTACCACTATTTCCTTTCTAAATGAAGTTGCAATGTAAGATATTGTGATCTCTCTTTTTACATTTCATTCATTGTAAGTGGATACTTACTGCTCACGATGCTAGAGTTTTTCAGCAAACTCTTTATAAAACTTACCAATAATGAGAGTATTATGTGAGCCTAAAAGGAAGACAAAGGTCACAAATGCATCAGTCTAGTACTCAACAAAATTAAGCAGGAGCCCTCACCCAGTGACAATTTATCCAAATTTTTATCATTACACAGTCCAATTTTGTTCTAATATAAAAAACCATTGGTTTTACTCAGACAATCTCATTTTATCTTGTGTACTCAGTGGTCTGGTTTTTTAAAAACTTATTATTTTATCATAAAATGAATAGAAATGCCATAAAAAATTTTTAACACAGAACAAAAGGAAAATATCACATGATTCTAATACCATGAAATGTTTTGGTACATTCGCTCTGGTACATGGTCCCATGCATCTAAGTTTTTACTTCTTTATAGAATCTCTTTATCTAACTTTTGAAGAGTGGAAATAAGCACTCAATCAATATATGTTCATTTTTTTCTTTATTGATATATTAGAAAGAAGAAGGGAGAGAGAGATGGAAACATTGATGACATCAATTGGCCACCTCCTGCATGCCCCCCACTGGGGATCAGGCCCACAATCTGGGCACGTGCCCTGACCAGGAATCAAATCAGAGACCTCTTGGTGTGTGGGTCAAAGCTCAACCACTGAGCCATACCGGTCGGCAATATATGTTAATTTTTATAACCTCTACTACCTCCACAACTACCCCTACTGCTACCAGTATGGTAATGCTATTACTTCTTCATTATATTTTTCACATATTTCTCATCTGTTGACTGCTTTCTTATTTACTTTCCAAAATAGGTATGTCAAATTTGTTGATCTTTGATGATTTTCTCTATCATATCAAAAAATCCAAAGAACTGGCCTTCTTCCAGCAGTTTGATAAATAGTCTTTTATTTACTTATTTTTAACATTAGCTTTTCTGTACTGACTTTTAAAACTTTAACTCTATTACATCTGGTACTTTTTATAAGACAAAAATAAAGGTTCTAAATTTATTTCCAAGCTACCTATATTACTTGATCATCTTTACCTTCCCTGTGGACTGATGCTGTCTTAACTATTATATTTCATTTGTAAGATACTTTTACTTATATTTATAATAACCTTTATTTTATTAATATCTATTTTGTTCCACTTATAAAAGTGAGCCTGTTTTGTGCCAGTTTAAAGTGATTTATGTACTGTGGCTTCATCTTTTGTTATAATATCTAGTAGGGTGGTCCTCCCACCATGTGGATTTTCTGTCTTTCATAGACATCTCTTCAGAAACCTCTAAAGGCATTCATCCAGTCAGATAGACAGTGAACTTTTTGCCAAAGTGAATATAATTTGATATTAAGAGAGTTATGAGTTTATAACTTGGAGACATTATTGGTAAATCAGATTAGCTAGCAATACCAATCTTGGTATTCACTACTATAAATAAGAATCATAAGAATAGGTCAGGGAGGCTGAGCACTAACGTAGATTAGGAAAAGTTATTCATTGTTGCCCAGCTGGTGTGGCTCAGTGGTTGAGTGTCGACCCATGGACTGGGAGGTCCTGGTTTGATTCCTGGTCAGGGCACATGCCCAGGTTGTGGGCCCAATCCCCAGTGAGGGGGATGCAGGAGGCGGCCCATTAATGTTCTCTCTTATTGATGTTTCTATCTTTTTCTCCCCTTCTCCCATTCTCTCTCTCTAAAATCAATAAAGAAAAAAAACTTAAAAAAAGTTATTCATTGTTAATTTTACTCATCAGCTCCTTGATGTGTACAAAATCTGGGTTTAGAATTTTCTATCTTAACATTACCCTCTAGTTGCCAGCAGAGGGCTACTCTTCTACAGAGCTCAGTGAAACATGATTTCTAAAACTTGGAAGATGCTTCCTGACTCACACTGAATTCTTGAAGTCCTGCTTTATCACTGATGTGCTCCTGACTTTTAAGGCCCCGAGCTATAAACAAATCATTACTGTGGGATGCATGCAACAATAGGGTGATATAGACAAAAGTGGTTCAGAGGTATCCCCCAGGAGAGAAGAATGGGTTGAGAAGTGTGAGGGGAGCAAGGCTTGCCTCTCATTACTAAGGACTTTTGGAGAAGAATTGGGGGCTCCTATTGCACTCCTCAGCTCTATCATGTGCCATAACATCACACTACATTAGATGCCAGCACAGAGGAATGAATGAACAGTGCCACGATTGGGAAGGACCTGCATTCCTTGTTCTTGCTCTTGCACTTACGGGATATACATGTGGCCAGGGGAGGGTTCCACGTGTTATTCGCCTGGCACTGGCTCCAGGGACTGCCTTCCAGAGTATATCCATCTTTACACTCCAAAGTTACATTATCTCTATATTGAAATTCTTTGCTCATTTCCAACTCCTTCATGATTCCATTCAAAACCTGTGGGAGGCTACATTTTACCTCTGAAATAAGAAAAATCAGAAAGAAATTGATACTTTATTAATAACTGTTAGTTGTAACTGCCATAATGAACGGATCTAGGACACCCAACCCATTTTCCCTTCAGCAAAGATTGGTCATGTTTTCAATGAAAATTGATATCCCCTCCCCAAACATCTTAGGATTTAAAACTCTCTGACTTTATTTTCTTAGGTAAAGTTAGGAAATATGGAATGTACTGTAATCCACTTATAATTGTGAACAGCTCTGCAACTGAAAAGTTGTGGAAAGATTAGGAATTAGGAGAACCATGCTCTAGCCTGGATCCTCTTGGGTGGTACCATAAGGAAACAGGATCACACTAACTCTCTCCAGCAATACAACAAATACTGCTTTTTGCCTCTTGATTAAATGCCCGTTTCTGCCCTATTTCTGTACATAGAACAAAGGCATTAGTGAATCATGATTCTGAATTTAAAATATCAACTTTCTAATTAATTTAATTTATCTCATTCAGCTCAATGTTACTTTGCTTTCTTTCCCTGCCCAGCATCACCTTCTTTGATTTAAGCAAAGCCTGTTTTTCAGTTGTAAGAGCCTAATTTCTTTCTTCCTTCCTTCTTCCTTCCTTCCTTCCTTCCTTCCTTCCTTCCTTCCTTCCTTCCTTCCCTCCCTCCTCCCTCCCTCCCTCCCTCCCCTCCCCTCCCTCCCCTCCCCTTCCCCTCCCTCTCTTTCTTTTCTTTTCTTTTCTTTTCTTTTCTTTTTCTTTTCTTTCTTTTCTTTTCTTTCTTTTCTTTTCTTTTCTTTTCTTTTCTTTTTCTTTCTTTTTCTTTGTAAAACCCAACCAGGTGAAGTGCTATTTCTCACAGTATTGTTTGTGGTCTTTCTACATCAGAATATTCTAGTGGGTTTGTTCAAAATAGACCTCTGGACCCCAACTCAAAATGCCAGAATCCAAGTTCTTGGGGATGCAGATTAAGAAACTGTCTTTTTAACAAGGGTCCTGGCTGGCTTTGCTCGTTCTAAAACTAGACAATGAATAAGCCATGCTTGAACAGAACTTAAGACAAAATTAACTTTACTTAAATGAAAAGAAAGCAGATGCCAGGAGAAAAGGATACAATTCTTTTATTTTCAGGACAACTATCCCAGAGTCCTAATCTGAATAATTAATCATCAAACTATTCCCTGAATCATCATACTTCTTATGTAACTAAAGCAAGGAGGGGCCCTGGCCAGTGTGGCTCAGTCGGTTGGGCGTCATCTCGTGCACTGAAATGGTGCTAGTTTGATTCCCAGTCAGGGCACGTGCCTGGATTTCAGGCTTGATCTCCCGTAGGGGGCTTACAGGAAGCAGCTGATGATCAATGTCTGGCTCTCACATCAATGATTCTCTCTCTCTCTCCCTCTCTCTTACTCTTTGTTTAAAAATCAATAAAAAAGTCTTTAAAAAAAAAGGGAGAGTGAGCTTCTGGTTTCTGAACAGCCACAGGGACTCTGTAAGTGCTACCCATTTTGGCAAATAACCAAAACAGAGTCACTTGCCATTACTATGGTGGGCCTTCTGTGTCTCTAAAATGGACAGGTAGGAGGCCAAAGAGGATTTCAGAGACTTTTAGGTCAGGGAGGGACATAAATTCCTGTAACCACAGCATTAGTAAGACTAACTAGTCCTTAACATTAAAAAATGCCTCATCCCTGCCATTACATAGTATTTGAAACGTGAAAGAATAGAAAAGAAACAAGCAAAACAAAAATCTCTTAACTCCTAGTTTTGAAAAGTCAAGAACCACATTTAAAAGGAGACGTACAAAGTGTAGAGTCTGAAAGCAGGGGCTGAGCTGGGGTCCAATCCTAGCACCACCACTCCTGAGCTGCGGATCACAGACTAGTTACTGGATCTCTCTGCACCTCAATTTCTTCCTCGGTAAGATAGCAAAGATAATAATCCCACCTCATCTGATTCTTGAGGAGACAAACACAAATCACTTTTGTGATGATCTTAGTAACATTTCTAGTCACAGAATATGATTTTTAATTCCCGTTTGCAGCTTTTTAGAATATTGCCAATACAACATTTTAAGTTGTATTTTAATTTTTCAAACACAGGCAGGAATAACTAAAATAATTCCTGGGACTTGTTGCAGGGAAGAGAAAATAAACACCCTACCGTTGGTCTTGGACATGATAGTGAGACTCCACAGCCAATAATACTGAAACCAATTGCCCTTGACCTCACTTCTATTGTCCCCACAACAAAGGGCTTCTAGCCTCTTACTGACCTTCCAAATGATTTGTGAGGACCACCTGTGATCCTTTAAAGCTGGAATATTTTATAAATAAAAAGCCCATAAAGCACTTTAAATTAGTATTTGATGTCTATTTATTATTGAAAATTCCATCGGTTCTTCCTACTCATTTGGTAGAGTTGCAGATATTTCGGTAGCCTTCCTTCCTACTGCTTGTTCTGCATTTCTCCTCTATTGATACTCATGTCATCATCCTCTCAGAAATGATCTCTCTCAGACTTATTAGTCTCATGCATCAATCTTCCATAAAAAACCACCAAGAATAAGAGATACCTTTGCAGTAATGGTCAGATTGGCTCCAGGTTCCCTCGTGTGTACAGAAGATGAAGGCTTTCCCCACTAACAGGTAGCCAGGGTCACAAGTGTAGCTGACTGACACCCCAGGAAGATATGGAGATACATGTCTTCCAGTGTGATGCCCGTTGTGAATCTTGGGTGGAGGTGGACATGCTAAGAGCAAGAGAAGACATTCAGTTAAACACAGAAGTATGAACACACCAACACATCTAGTATCTCTGACTAACAGAACCACATGAAGACCCAGGCAGGCAAGTCTCAAGCCACTCAGTGTTTGAGGATCAGTGGGAAGGCTAGTTGTCTGAACCCAGACCGCTCAGCCTTTAACCAGGATCATGTGTATTCACCTACAGATGGCACCAGCTAGAAATACCACTAGAATCTACCAATGACCAAGTCAATGCTGTCTGTCCTCACTAGAGGACAGAGCTGGTGTGGACAATCGCAGCCACAAAGGAGCTTCTCCTTGCCAGGTACTGTCATTAAAGGTAGAAATATATGAAAAACAGAGGCCACGAGCACAGCCACCCACTTCACCTGTCCAGGTCATCCTGAGTTCCTTTTGCTAAAGGTGAGATGAAGGGTCAACAAAATGCAGTAATGGGCTGAGCAGAACACTTAGAAGCAACAAAAGGAGTACAGATGCCTACATCGGACTCTCCTAATTCTTTCTATAGCATTACCAATTTTGAAGTAAATTACTCTGTCCACATGTACGTTTTGCTCTGCACACCATCTCTCTAGTATAAAAACAACTAGTAACGGAGATGGCATAACTGAATATTCTCATTGTCATTTATCTTCATTGCTTTTAACGTATCCTCTATAAACTCTGGGCCTCATGGATTCCCTCCACTCTCTATTCCTCTCCTCACCATCCTACACTTCTCACCCCAGCAGGTAGGTCATCACAATTCCGCCAAATAGGCTCAGTGCAGCACCTCCAGAGCTGTCTGTTATCCTCCTGGCAGACACTTCTGTGCCTGATATTCCTAACAAAGTCTTGTTATGAGACATAAATGACTGTCACAATAGAAATACGGAGCTTCGTGCCCAGATATACTGTTCTATCTGGCAGCGGGGGGGGGGGGGGTAGTGAAATGTACACTGACCAGAAGGACTAGAAAGTTCACAGTGAGGGGCAGGACCACTCCAAATCCCGTTCCCTTGACTGTCACTTGTGCAGCGGATGGTGCTCTCCCCAATGAGATCGAAGGTCAGCCCTCTGTTTGGGTGGGAGTCACATGTATAAGATATTTCTTTTCCATAGGGAATATCTCTCAGAGAAGTTCCTGTGTGGTTCCCATTAAGGATAACTGGAGGATCTGTACAAAAGATTTCTAGAAAGAAAACAAGAGTATTAGGTTTCACTAGAGTTTCAATCAAAATGATTATACAATAATGGTACCCAGGGAGTATGTTATAAACACATGTCTTTCTATGAAAATATAACTAAGGTGGATGGAATTTATATATGTAAAACATTTTCTAAGAAGGAACTTAGGAAGGTGAGATTTTAAATTACAGTTTATTGCAAAAGTCCAAAAGACTCTCCAGGTAGCTAAGATTCTAGTAAACTTGAAAGGTAATTAATTTGTTGTTGTTGTTGTTTTTTTTTTTTCAGCAACCATTTTACTTCCTACTATATGTCAGGGGTGGTAAGAGTCCTGGGCTGACAATGGGATACAAGATAAATAAGGTTTTGGCTCTCAAAGATCTGAAGTTCCAGGGAAATCTTCATGAAGTTTATGAAACGTGGACTATCATTTTCAGCTGATGTAAATGTTTGTTGATGACTGAAGACCATTATCATCAGTGCCAACATCAAACACACAATAGTGTCATCAGAATACATTGATTTCTACAGTCAAATTCAAAAGCACTAGGTAGCTTTTATTTCTTCTTTTTTTTTTCCAAGCTATCATTTCTTCCTGCTATTAGTGTATCTATTTCTAGCAATTCTCTCCCTAAAACTAATTTGATGCTTCTAAACTGATATAAATCGAGAAAGAGATACCCAAGCTGTCAGAATTGTATGTATAAACAAGTGAGGGCTTTAGTACATAAAACAATGATTGATTTCTCATACCTGGATTTTAACTATGTGTTTGTGTTTATCCAAAGTTTAATTATAAATTTATTTTCTGCTTTATGTGTGTTGCGAAGGTTGAGTTTGATGGATATCTGAGTTTTATACATATGAAATGCTCTCATAAAGTCCAACTATAATCTCATACAATGAACAAATAGATTTCTAGCAAGGTATCAAAATCCAAAGTAAAATGAATATTTTCCAATCATCAAGAAAATGGTATTTCAAAAAGTCTTGCTTTGCTTTGGTAAACAGAGTAGGACAAACCAGTATTCTCTTAGTGTATGACACACTTTTATTTATTTATCTATTTCTGAATCTTGCATGTTTTATTCAAGTGGGCAGTTTGGAAATTTAGGGCACTGCACCTCATCATTTCAAATAGGGACTCACTTCCCTGTACCATACTAATTCTTCACCTAACACTGTTTTCTTTTATCTATAACTTATCAATTTTAACATACCCTTTTATGCATTCAATTTTTTATATGTTTATTTATTTATTTTCTTGTTCATGGTCTGCCTCCCCAAGTGGAAAATTAACTCCATGAAAACAGGGATATGATCGTCTTTCCTATTCAGTACTTTCCCCATGTGGGAAGTTCTGACATGTCGGGAGCCCCTCCTCAGTCAATACTCCAGACTAAATAACAGGATAAATAGTTTAGATACATGATGGGATAAAAGGACAGATATACATAAGAGAAACTGAAAAATAAATGAATAAATACACTTTGGTACACCTTTGTACATCTAATTTCTTTCTACATATTCTCCACAAAAGTCAACCCTGGTATTAACTCAGTAACTTATAGATTAGTAACATAAACACAACGTGTAAGACCTACATGACCTGTTTTGAAATTCTTCCAACAAACTGTATTTTTATAGGTAATTTGTGAAAGATTCAGACAACAGGTGATTCCATGAGGCACAGCACATTGGAAGTAGAAAGGAGAGGTACCCAGGCTGCATAGCTGTTCTTTCTACTCACGTTCACACACGGGGACACTGCTGTTCCAAAGGCTTTTCATTCCGACCAAGACACAATGACTAGCAGAGCTGCCTTTTAATCGAAAACTAAAGCAAAAAAAAGGGGGGGGGAGGGGGTAGCAAATAGGTAAGCAACTCCCATCTCTTCCTTCCTTATTAATAGATACTCAGGTTGGTCTCTTCAGTCTAAATACCATTTGGTTCTTAGGTTGAGGCCCAGCTGAAAGTCTCTGTTCATTTGGGACCAGAATCAGCAGCTGGCAGGAACTCAGATGCCAAATTATTCTAAAGAATCATGATATCCTGTGATGGGCAAAGCAATCAGAGATAGCAACTTCATGGTCCTACAGACATCATAGCCCAATGTCACCTACAGAAGTAACTGAATACAGAGCTGGACCCCTCCTGTGCTCTAGACCCAAACCCCATCTCACAGACAGCCTGTGACATCCCACTTATTCTCATTAGTGAGTCACAAGGAACAACAGCTCTCCACCCAGGTGAGCAAAGCAGAGAACATCTGCAGAGACCTGTCATCGTTCTTCTTGCCACTACATTTGTAACAGCCAGAAAGAGGCTCACTGAAGTGTGCTGAGCAAATGTTCTAGAAGAAAAATGATGCTGTGGGAGAAAAATGACGAGGGGAGGAGTCTTTGCCTCCTGGAAATGCATAAGTTATCATTGAACCCTGTTGTCTTTCTAAAATCTGCTCACCGTTATTGGGTAGACTTTGTACCTGTCAAAGATTCCTAGGGAAATGTTAAAATTAACTGCTGTACTGCCCAATCTTGTTACCTCCAACAGAAAGCGCATAGCACTCGGAGTACTGGATGCATATAAAGAACTAATAATACTAACCATAACAATAACACTGGCCATTATGAGCCCAATGTCAATGACATCACTGATAGGGACTTATAATGGAATTAAAACACTTATCCAAATTCTGCTATTGATTTATTTTAAATTTCTTAAAAAAAAATCCTATCCTTGCTTGACATCATATTACAAATAATGTTTGTCTTATACATCAAACATTTTACTGGCAAAATTTTCATAAAATTACATTTTCTGCCTCTAAACAACAATTTATCCATTTACTTCAAGTTTTAACTGTGAATTCAAGGTCAGTTTTTAATTTATATTTGTACTCAACATTGAATTACATACATGTCATGTTTCTTAGCTCCTGATAGTGCTGCTACTAAGTTCTTCCACTTATTGCAAAACTGTCCAGACATTAATATCCCTGGGTACTTCTTTTCCATAGGTCTGCTGCCCATTGTGGATTTACCCTTGAACCCAAGAAAGTCACTATCCATGTCACACTCACCCCTCATTACAAACGAAGGACACTTTTGCCCCAAGCTTGAGATTATGTGGAAAGAGCACACGGCCATGCGGAAGTTGGTCCTGGAAGTCACCACATGATTTCACTAAAGAAGAAAACAAATGAAGAAAAGAGTAAGACTACCATGTGAGGTACGAAGAGATTCATCTGAAATAGAAATCAGAAACGCAATAGAAAGGATCAATGAAACTAAAGGCTGGTTCTTTGAAAAATAAACAAAATTTGTAAGTTTCAGTCAGATTAAGAAAAAAGAGAAATGACTCAAAGGAAATAAATAGAAATGAGTAATAAGATATTACAAGTGATACTATAGAAATACATAGGACGATCACAGACTATTATGAATATTTATTTGCCAACAAATTAGGTGACCTAGAAGAAATGAATCTAGAAACACACAACCTACCAAGTCTTAATCAAGAAGAAATGGAAAATCTTGACAGGCTAATAACAAGCAGAGAGATTGATTCAGTAATCAAAATATCTCAACACAGAAAACATCAGGACCAGATGGCTTCACTAATAATTCTACCAAACATTCAAAAAGAATTAAATCAATCCTCAAACTCTTCTAAAAAGCTGAAGAGGAAGGTATATATTCAAACTCATTTTGCAAGGCCAGCATTGTATTACCCGGATACCAAGGCCAGCTAAGGATAGCACAAGAAAACTATAGGCCAATAACTCCAATGAATATAGATGTAGAAATTCTCAGCCAGACATTTGCAAACAAAGTTAAAGTACACATAAACATAATTATACAGCATGAAGTTATCCCTGGGATGCCTATTTCAACATAAGTAAATCAATAAATGTAATACTTCACATTAATAAAAAATATATAAGAATCACACAATCATCTTTAAAAAAATACAGAAAAAGCATTTGACAAAGTACAACATCCTTTCATAATAAAAACTCTTGGTAGACTGGTTATAGAAGGAACATACCTAAACATAATATAAGCCATGTATGACAAACCCACCACTAACATTATACTCAATGGAGAAAATGGAGACTTTCTCTCTCAGATCAGGAATAAGACAAAGAGTGCCACTCTCCCCACTCTTATCTAATGTAGTACTGGAAGTCCTAGCTAGAGCAATTAGGAAAGACAAAGAAATAAAAGGCATCCAAATTGGGAAGGAAGATGTAAAACTGTCATTATTTTCAGATGATAAGATTCTGTTTATAGAAAATCCCAAATACTCAACCAAATAACTGTTAGAACTAATTAATTATTTCAGTAAAGTTACAGGATACAAAATCAACATACAGCCCTGGCTGGTTTGGCTCAGCAGTTAAAGCGTCAGCCTGCAGTCCAGAAAGACCCAGGTTTGGTTCCCACTAAGGGCATGTACCTCGGTTGCAGTTTGTCCCCGGCCCTGGTTCGGTCGTGCAGGTGGCAACCACTCGATGTGTCCCATTCACGTTGATGTTTCTCTCTCTCTTCCTCTCTCTCCCTCCCACTCTATCTGAACAAAATATGGAAAAATGTCCTCAGGTGAGGATAAAAAAATAAATAAATAAACAAAATCAACAGACAGAAATCAGTTGCTTTCCTATGCATTAAGGATAAAACATCTGAAAACAATATAAAGACAACTATTCAATTTACAATAGCATAAAAAAATACTCAGGAACAAATTTAACCAAGAAAGTGAAAGATCTATACAATAAAAATGACAAGATGTTGCCAAAAAAATCAAAGAAGACACAAATAATTGGAAAGAAACACCATATTCACGGATCAGGAGAATTAATATTGTTAAAATGTCCACGGTGCCCAAAGCCATCTATAGATTCAATGTAATCTCCACCAAAATAGCAATAGCATTCTTCACAGAAATAGGAAAAAAAAATCTGAGGAAGAAGAATAAAGTGTCCTGATTTCAAACTACACTTCACAGCTGCAGTAATACAAATGGTATGGTACTGGAACAAAAATGGACGCATAAACCAATGGAACAGAACAAAAAACCTAGAATTAAATTCCTGCTTATATGGTCAACAAGTATTTGACTAGGCAGACAAGAGCACCAGAGAGGGAAAGAATAAGCTCTTCAACAAATGGTGCTGGAAGAAATACATACAGAACAATAAAATTGAATCCCTATCATACACCACTCACAAAAATTAACTCAAAGTAGATCAAAGCCTTAAATATAAGATCTGATACTATAAGACTCTTAGAAGAAAATGTAGGAAAAGAGTTCCTTAATATTAATCTTGGAAATGACTTTTTGGATATGACACCAAAGCACAAACACCAAAAGCAATAATCAACAAATGTGACCACATTGAACTTAAGAACTTTTGCAAAGCAAAAGAAACAATTAACAAAGTAGAAAGACAACCTACAGAAAAATTTTCTTTTTTTAAAAAAAAATCTTTATTGTTGAATGTAAAATGTATTAAAGATGTTCCACATTTTTCCCCCATTGACCCCCTCCTCCCCACTCCCACCCACCTCTTGCCTTTTCCCACACTATTGTCTGTGTCCATTGGTTATGCATATAAGTCCTTTGGTTTATTCCCCCCCCCCCCAACCCCTTTCCCTTTGAGGTTTGTCAGTCTAGCAATGAATTTGTACTTCTTAATCTCTTCACCTTTTTCACCCATTCCCCCAACTCCCCTCCCATCTGGCAACCAACAAAATGTTCTCTGTATCTATGAGAATGTTTCTGTTCTACCTGTTCAATTTGTTTGTAGATTCCATTCTTGATAGATAAGTGAAATGGACATAAGCAACCTAACAGATGCTGATTTCAAAATACTGCTTATAAGGATGCTCAATGAACTTAGTGAGGACTTCAAGAGCATAAAAAAGGACCAATCAGAAATTATGGATGCACAGTCAGAATTGAAGGAGGCATTAACTGAAATAAAGAATAATTTACACAGATTCAATAGTAGAGTATGTAAATCCAAGAAGCAACCATCGATTTGGAATATAAGGAAGCAAAAAACGCTCATTACAGAAAAATTTTCAAATCATATATTGGATAAGGTAATATCCAACATATAAAAAGAAGTCATACAACTCAACAACAGCAAAACAATTTGATTAAAAAATGGGCGGAAGACCTGAGTAGACATCTCCCCAAAGAGGATATGTGATGGCCAATGGGCACAAGAAAAGATGTTCAACATCCCTAAACTTCAGGAAAATTCAGTTTAAAACCACAAAGAGCCCTGGCTGGTGAGCTCAGTTGGCTGGGCATTTTCCTGTACACTGAAAGGTTGCAGGTTTGATTCCAGGTCAGGGCACACGCTCTGATTGTGGGCTTGATCCCGGGTGGGGAGTGTACAGGAGGCAGCCAGCGGATCAATGTCTTGCTCTCGCATTGATGTTTCTCTCTCCCCATCTCCTTTCCTCTCTCTCTAAAATCAATAAAAACATCTTTAAAAAAATACAAAGAGTTGTCTCACACCTGTTAGAATGGCTGTCATTAAGAAGACAAGTGATAACAACTGCTGGAAATCCTTGTGCCCTGTTGGTGTGGATTTAAATTAATGCAAAAACTATGGTAAACAGTATTAAAAACACAATTAGCATATGATCCAGCAATTCCACTTCTGGGTATTTTTTCCACAGAAAGTGCAAATACTAACTTGAAAAGATGTATGCACCCCCATGTTGACTGGAGCATCATTTGCAATAGCCAAGATATGGAAACAGCCTAAGTGTCCATTGATGGACTAATAAAGAAAATATAGTACATATATACAATAAAATATTACCCAGCCACAAAAAAAGAGGACTTGTCATTTGTGATAACATAAAGGACTTTGAGCACATTGTGGTAAGTGATGTAAGTCAGATAGAGATAGACAAGTGGTATATAATATCACTAATAGGTGAAATTGAAAACAGCCAAACATATAAAAACAGAGAACAAATGGTAGTTACCAAGGAATGGTGGATGAGGGGACAAGACAGATGTTGTTTAAGTGTATAAATTTAGAACAAATAGTAAATAATCTCTAGAGATACATTGCACAGTACAGTGAAGATAGACAACAATATTGTATTATTATCATCAAACCTGCTAACAGACTAGAAGCTAATTATTCTAACTACTCAAAAGAAAGGATAATTATGTAACAGGATAGAGATGCTAATTATAGCTACAATGGCAAATATCTTATAATATATGAAGGCATCAAATTAACACACTGTACACTTAAAATTTATACAATGTTATATGTCAAATATACTCCAAAAAGAGATATTATAGAATTATACACCCGAAGCCTATATAATTTTATTAACCAATGTCACCCCAATAAATTCAATTTAAAAAAAAGAAAATTATTTTTTTTAAAGAAAAATATAAAAAAATATAAATCATGGGAAATGAAATAATCACTGATTCAGGGATAATAAAATGATAAAAGACTATTATGTTCCACTAGAACATAATAATTTTTAAAATATTGGTATAAATAACTACACACATTCACATACACATATATAACCAATATTCACTCAGCTAAATGTTTATTGACTCAAAAATACCATAGAAGTGGATACATTTTTTATTAGAAATAAGCCCTTACAAAAGATGTTAGACCTAAAAGAAGTTTTATAGTAAACTGATAATACCTTGGTAATTTAAAGTTTTTTAGAGAATTTAAATTATGGGCAGGTTAAGGAGGCACCTTGTACAGCTTCTTATTTATTTCTTTGCATCTTTAAAAGCCAATGTTTGTGTGTGTGTGTGCGTGAATACAATAAGTAAATTCACTGTAGGAATTTTATAAAATAAGAACAAATATAAAGAATAAAATAATAATGATCCAAAAATAAGTATTTCTGATAATTTAATGCATATCATGTCAGATATGTATGAATGTACATGAATGTGTGTCTATGGGTATATTTTCTAGAATATGATATTTGTAGCTGGATAATATTCAGGCATGTAGATAAATGGATATAGTGTTTATTTCCACTTGGATGAAGCATCTCAATCTCTAATTTCTTATTGTATACCTACACCTTTCTTAAAATGTATGATCATTTTTAACAAGCTGCATTTCTTCTATTAGCTATTTTCAAACCATGCCGACATTTAGATTCTTAATATTTTTCACTATTATAAATACTATTGCATTAAGTGCCTTTAGACCAAAATCATGGGAAAATCCCACGATTATTTTCTTGGGATAAACTTTAGAAAATGGAATTGCTAGGTCAAAGGGTATTTGCATTATGGCTTTTGCATATATCCCTCACTAGCCTTCTAGAAGTTTGTACCCACTTTTACTGCCATCAACTCTGCATGTGATACTGATTTTTTTAAACAGCTTTAACACTCTATCAATTTGTAATCAGACAGTCTTCTATGTTCCTCACAGTTTTGGAGATTCACTTTACAATATCCCATTGAATAGACAGAGTCAACTAATCACGAACAAATACAACTAGGGCTGGTGCATGGAAGACTTTGAAGGGAGAAGAAAGGGCAGAATGACTAAAGGGCTTGGGGAAATTGTTAAGAAAAATACATTTTTCTTTCATCATTCAGAGTAAGGATAATAAGGAAGAGAGTAATCTCTCTTCTTCCTGGGGTTGTTATGTGCTATTAAGAGGTGGCAGAGACAGGGTTAGGCGAGTAGAGCAGTTTTACCTGAGTTCAAGTACACAGTTTCAGATAAATTATCTCTTAAAATTAAGAACCAAAACCAAAACAGGAGGACCCTGCAGCACATGACTCCAATATGCAAATATCTGAGAGGCTACTCTGTGCAAGAAGGATCATATGTCTTCTTTGGAACTACAGAGTCAAATCAGGATCAACTGGAGGGAATTATGGGGAAAAGTATTTGCACTCACACTCACAAACAGGTGCCTTCTTATCCCAAGTGACACTATTATTGCCTGAGAGGTGACAAACAGCAAATGGAGAGCCAATGAGTTGATACCTAGAAACAAGGTGAAAATGATTATACCCTACACATATTTCTCACTTAAGTCACAATGAGGAAATAATACCAAGAGGGTTTTACCAATTACAGGACAAATTAAAACATGGGAGACCGAAAGGAAGAAACCCTATCTCCATCTGCAAATTAGTCCTTTATTGTTAAGAACAAGTTTAAATTCCTACCTCTTTAATCCATCTTCATTTCTAGTCCTGCACGAACACAATGCAATAATTATGTTATTTACGTGCAATCTCTAGCCCTAGTCCAAAGACATTTAAGCTTGTGGTGTTGAAGGGATATTTGTTGATTGAAGGAATGTGGGAATTATTCTTTTTTCAGGAAATATATCTAATTGGTATATGTAATGGGTTCTTGGTTATGTGAGACTATACTTCTATGCCTTGGCAGAGTACAGATATTTTATGGCACAATATTTTCCCTCAAAACACAAATTTCCACTCTTTAGTGTGTGGAAGAAACATCTGATGAGCATATAATTTTTTTCTGTTTATTTTATCTCTGGAGAGTTGTACATTTTTTAAATGTCTGAATTTCATATAGTTTCTCCATGTAGGGTGAGGGCCTTTTATCATTAATTTGCATTTGTTCAATAAGCCTTAGGATTTCAACAATCTAACCTTTTTCTTTCTAACCTGGGAATATATCTTCCATATCTCCTAATTGATAGTTCATCAATTTTTACTTTTTAATTTTTGTCTCATGTCTCAATATGTGTGATTGTGTGTGTATGTGTGTGTGTGTGATTTCCAGTCTTATCCTTCATTTATTCTGGAGAAATTAATCCAATTTCATGATCTGTTTGGTTTCTTTTTCCTTTATTTAGAATTCAATCTTCTGATTATTGTTCCTTTTTAAATCTACTGTATGTTTATTCATATATAAACTTTACCAATATCGGATCATTAAATCTCAGAAATACCTCTTACTACTTCATAGGTTATATGTTACAAACAGATATGAGAGATTTCTAATATCCTGTTTTGGAGTTCATTCCCTTATTTATTGGAGTATACTGATTTGTAGAGGAATGTTTTCTCTGATTTCTCAGATTGGTCTTTTATATTTTCAATTGCTGTATCTTTCTTCCTTCTTATGTCATGGTGTTGTATTTTGTTCATGACAGAAAGAGCTTTAGGTTTATTCACAATGAGAGGTGAGAAGGGATTGGTGAAGAGATTGTATGGAAAGGTGTTTAAAGCTCCAGGCTCTGACAACGTGAGCAGGAGTGAATATTGATTTATTCTACTTTAAAATAGCTGGGTCATAGGTACAATACATAGATCTTACTTGGGTAGAATAGCATGGAGCCAGTGACCAAGGGCAGTGTATGCAGAAAGATGTAATATACATATATACCTTATTTCTCTGAATTTATTGTAGCAACTAAAAATACTACGTACTTTCTTTCTTTTTGGCAGGTGCCCCTAGCGGGTACTGAACCTGGGTCTCTCTGGTCTGCAGGCCGACACTCCAACTGCTGAGCCAAACCAGCCAGGGCAGTACACTTTCTTTAATTGCTCCCTCTAAGTAGGGGTATTGGCTTCTAGCTCGGTTACTGTCAAGGAAAATTCAAGAGCAAAAACTCCAGTAGGGTCCCCTCTCTGTGTGCATTTTAGTGCTTATATTTCCCAGAACTGCTATGACATAACATTTACCCTCCCAATTCCTTCTTTAGGTCCTCCAACTCAGCTACAGTACTTGCTGATCTCAGTTAAGGATGTTTGCATGATTCAATGAGTATTTTTCATTTTACTGACTTGGTAGGCTGGTCCTTTTTATCCAGTGGATATCTTACCAGGTTCATATGTGCTACCTTTGGCAGGAGCATGGTTCCCTCCCGGTTTATAATGCAGATATAGACTCCTCCTCCATTTTTAGATTATTTTGGTCATATGCCTATGTTCAAGTCCTGTTGCTTACTTTTTGAAGTACAGGGGGCAGTCGTCTAGTTTGCTTATCAAAGACTGGGACAGAGATGAACACTGCTATTCTGGAACCCATATTCCAGAGAGAGTGCTCCCAACTCACCCTTCATTACAAGAATAATTAACTGATGATCCAAAATGGGTATCTGTGTTTATATGCACCATGCCATTGATGGGTTCTTGTGGAGTTCCACATGATTTTCCTATGAGAAAAAAGCAGAATTTGGGAGTAGGTATATAGTTCAACTCACATTTGTTTTTAAGATTCAGACTGGAGTGTAGCATACTGAACAGCTTATATATTTGTGAGTTTCCTAAAGAATTGCCACTTTGAGGAAACTCGCCATACAACCTTAGAATCAAGCAGCTACAGAACGCCACTTTTAAAGGACTACCTTGCATTTCCCAATAAAAGTCATTCATGGCTAAAGAATGGTTTCTCATCATACCAGTTAAATCAAAAGCTTCATAATTTGGGATTTCCCTCCATCTTAGTTAGCTAACCATGGTTCACTGTGACCCACATCATTTTCTTTTGTGTCCCTTTTTTATTCATTTCATGGTTTTAGCCATAAAAGTAACCTTAAGCCAGTGGAAAATTTCCCTCTAATTCCTTCTGTGTGAATCTTTCCTATGAAATGAATATTGGGTCAGGGTGCAGAAATCCAGACAATAAAAAGGGTTGACCTGCAAGTCCACCCTCCATTTAAATATGTTGGGCAAACTTAGATATCTCACCTTCAAAAAAAAAAAAAAAAAAAAAAATCAAATCAGATCCCACAGATGCTTTAACATACATAAATTAGTTCCCAGAATGGGGTTACTCACTTTTACAGATATCTTCGGCACTTGACCAGACCAAATTTTCTAAGCAGGTGATAGAGAATGTTCTCTCAAAATACCCAGGGGAGCATTTGTAGTTCAAAGATGTTCCAACTGGAAACTCAGACTCATCAGTTAGGGTTGTAGACTTGGCAAATAGAAATTGTTCTGGAGCTTTACAGTAACCTAGAGACCAAAGCCACAGGAATATCAATGTGAGCAATGAGACTTCCACTCTACCTTTCTTTCTCTCCAGTTAAGGTGATATTTGAGATAACAGAAACAGAGACTTATAATAATTGCAAAGATTTCCTTCTTCTTGAAGTCACCTTAGGATGGTGCTTTCCAACAACATCTACTCATCAAAAAATTTTTGCCACTTAAACACTATTCAATCAGCTTTATGGACTGTCTTCTCTTATTTCACCAAAGCATAAAATTTAGCTAATAGTTTCATATGTCAGACCTCCTATCAGAGTGCCTGCATCTAGAGTTGACCATTCATATCTTCATTTATTGGTGTTAATATACCCATGTATATTTATTGTCTCTCTCCATTTATTCCTCCCTGCCTCTTTCTCAGGATGTCCATCATCAGCTGCCTCTCTGGCACTAAAGGGCAGCCACTACTTGTAGTGAGTTGAATGATATTCTTCCAAAAGATACATCCATCCAGAATCTCACAATGGGAACTCATTTGGAATAGGGGTCTTTTCAGGTATAATTAAGGTAGTGATCTTTAGATGAGACTATTCTAGATTACCAGGGTGGGCCTAAGTTCAATGACTAGTGGTGTACTTAGAAAAGAAAGGGGGATTTGAGACACAGAGACACAGAGGAACAGGCCATGTGAAGACAGAGGCAGGGATTAGAGTGATGAGTCCACAAACCAGAAGCCACTAGAAGCTGGAAGAGGCAAAGAAGGATTCTCCTCTAGAGCCATAGGAAGGGTTGGGGTCTTGCCAACACCTTGATTTCAGACTTCTAGCTTCCAGATCTGTGAGAGAATAAATTTCTATTATTTTAAGCCACCTAGTCTGTGATAATTTGTTATGGCAGCCCTAAGAAACTAATAGACCATTCTTCTCATTCTGATGCTAAATCAGACATTTAAGGAGAAGGACAAGGACAAAACAGATTAAGCCATTAAGCAGCATCCTCTAAGAAGCTATTTCTTCTTTATGAGAGGGTACATTGTATGCTGCACATTTCGAAACAGAGCCTAACTCAACTATCTCTTCTTTGGAGGAGACTGATTCTGTAAGCCAATTCAATAAGACTGGCTGGGGTCTAGGGATCTGCGTTTAAAGAAATGTCACTAGATTCTGATGTATACCACCCAGTTGGAGGGTGAGGGAGATCAAAGGAATGTCAAATGCTTTTCATCATGTGTGGCCTTTTCTCATTGGATTACTCTTGTCTCTCAGGATTCCCCTGAAGGGGAAGTGGTATTCCAAGGCTAGTGCCATACCCGAGTCTACTCCAGGCTCCATTCTTAGGAAGGCCTCAAGTACCAGGCAATCTTCTCCAGTCCTTAGAAAGAAAAAGTCCAGAGACTTCTGGTCAAGATGGCTGCGTAGGTAAACGCGGTATTGGGTCCTCCCACAACCACATCAAAGTTACAACTAAACTACAGAAAACCATCATTCAAAACCGCCTGAAATCAAGCTGAATGGAAGTCCTACAATTACGAAATTAAAGAAGCAGCCACGCCCTGGCTGGTTTGGCTCAGTGGTTGGGGTGCCAGCCTGCGGTCCAGAGAGACCTGGGTTCGGTTCCCGCTAAGGGCATGTGCCTTGGTTGAGGTTTGTCCCCGGCCCTGGTTGGGTCGTGCGAGTGGCAACCACTCGATGTGTCCCTTTCATGTGGATGTTTCTCTCTCTCTCTCCCCGTCCCACTCTATCTGAACAAAATGTGGAGAAATGTCCTCGGGTGAGGATAAAAAAAAAAAAGCAGCAGCCACATTGAGACTGGTAGGAGGGGCAGAGGCACAATGGGCTGGTCCCACATCCACATGTGGTGGATAAAAATGAAGAGGGACACCTTGGCTGGGAAGGTCCTCCCTGAGGAATGAGGGGTCCCTGTTCCACACCAGGCACCTAGCTCAGGGTTCCAGTGCCAGGAAGAGAAGTCTCCATAACTTCTGGCTGGAAAAACCAGTGGGAACTAAGACTGAGGGAGGCTGAGGCAGCTGCAGCCCCAGACAGCTCCTCTTAAAGGGCCCAAGTATGGACTTACTCGGACTCACACCCTTCAGGCTCCAGCACGGGGGAGGCAGCTTGAAAGGCACCAGAGACATACAGGGGAAGAACTGAGTTGTTTGACATTGGAGCGAGGGCTGAAGAGGCAGCTTTCTCCTGGACAGACCTGATGTCAGAGGCTTTTGTTCCTTTGGTGAACCCTTTCCTGGGGTGGCAGACAGCCACCATATCTGGGACTCCAGCAACCTGGCTCACACTGTTTGCCCCACCCTGGTGATTCCCTGAGGCCCTGCCCCACCCATCTTTCAGGCCCACCCAAGCTATTGCCAGTTGCTTTACCATAGGATTGGCCCATCATCGATCCTGCTTCAGGTTTTCTTAAATTCTTTCAAAGAAGCAGCTCATGGTCTCAGTTAGTCCCATACCTCTCATTAAGTAATACATAGAAACAAACACAAGGAAGCAGCCAAAATGAGGAGACAAAAAACAAAACAAAACAAAACAAAACAGGTCCCAAATGAAAGAACAGAACAAAACTCCAGGAAAAGAACTAAGCAAAATGGAGATAAGCAACCTAACAGATGCTGAGTTCAAAACACTGCTTATCAGGATGCTCAATGAACTTAGTGAGGGCCTCAAGGGCCTAAAAGAAGACCAGTTAGAAATGAAGGAGGCTCAGTCAGAAATGAAGGAGGCACTAACTGAAATAAAGAATAATTTACACAGATTCAATAGTAGAGTAGGTAAAGCCAAGAAGCAAACCATTGATTTGGAATATAAGAAAGCAAAAAAACACCCAATTAGAACAGCAAAAAAAAAAAAAAAAAAGAATCCAGAAAAATGATGATATTGTAAGGAGCTTCTGGGACAACTTCAAGCGTGCCTACATTTGCATCTTGGGGTGCCAGAAGGAGAAGAGAGAGAAGAAGAAATCAAAAAGCTATTTGAAACAATAATAGAAGAAAACTTCCCTAACTTGGTGAAGGAAACAGACATACACATCCAAGAAGCACAGAAAGTCCCAAACAAGATGAACCCCAAGAGGCCCACACCAAGACACATCATCATCATCAAAATGCAAAAGGTTCATGACAAAAAGAGAATCTTAAAAGCATCAAGAGAAAAGTAGTTAGTTACCTACAAGAAAGTTCCCATAAGACTGTCAGCTGATTTCTCAAAAGAAACTTTGCAGGCCAGAAGGGAGTGGCAAGAAATATTCAGAGTGATGAAAAGCAGGAACCTACAACCAAGATTACTCTGTCCTGCAAAGCTGTTGTTTAGAATTGATAGACAGATAGTTTCCCAGACAAGGGAAAGCTAAAGGAGTTCATCAGCACCAAACCGTTATTATATGAAATGTTGAAGGGTCTTCTTGAAGAAAAAGATAAAAAATATGAACAAACAAAATGGCAATGAATACATGTCTATCAACAATGGAATCTACAAAGAAAATGAACAGGCATAACAGAAACATTCTCATAGATACAGAGAACATTTCGTTGGTTGCCAGATAGGAGGGGGGTGAGGGGTGTTGAGGGAATGGGTGAAAAAGTGAAGGGATTAAGAAGTACAAATTAGTTGTTAGACTGACAAACCTCAAAAAGAAGGGGGTTTGGGAGGTGGGAAGAAATAAATCAAAGAACTTATATTCATAGATGCATAACCAATGGACACAGACAACAGTGTGGGGGAAGGCAGGAGGGGGGGAGTGGGATGGAGGAGGTCAATAGGGAAAAAATGAGGAACATCTGTAATACATTCAACAAGATAAGTTAAAAAAAAAAGAAGATAAGATATTGTTTTACACTTTTGATCAAAGATTATAGATAAGGAATTGCAGGTAAAAAACTTGTCTGCAGATGCTAAACAAACAAACAAACAAAAAACAGGTTTCATGAATCCCCCTCAATACTGCCCAAATCCTTGTAACTCTTGTGTGTGTGTGTTTTTTAATCCTCACCAGAGGACATTTAAAAAAAATAAAAAGGAAGGAAGGAAGGAAGGAAGGAAGGAAGGAAGGAAGGAAGGAAGGAAGGTAGGAAGGAAAGAAGGAAAGAAAGAAAGAAGGAAGGAAAGAAAGAAAGAAAAAAGAAGAAAGAACGAAGGAAAGAAAGAAAGAGAGAAATTGTCTATACCTATTTGCATTATTTTCCTTGAGCTGATCTGTCCTTACTTCTTCTCACTCCCAGAATGAAAGTTCAATCAAAAGATTAAGATGGGACCCAGAGGCAAGCTGACAAATGGGTCTACTATGAGTTGAGGTCTTTAGATACAAAGGTAAAGTGAGTCCTTTTTGTTACTTAATTTCTTCAGCCTAAGACTAGCTAAAGCCTTAGCTAAATAACATTCATATTACCAGTTTTATCCTTTGCATGCCCATGAATTTGCAGAGTGTTTATCAGTTATCCTGATATTAATTTGTGTGCATAGGCAATTGTTTCCCCATCCCCTTCAATGAATGCATTTTTCTTCCTGATTTACACAAGAAGTGCTTACTGCCTTCTCTCCATCCTTCCCCTTACTCCACTTACCACTCCTTTCCTTACCACTCCACCAGCAAGATGAGTTATTAATTAGCACCTTCCTTACTCAGACACAGCTGGGCACTGCTGGAACCATCTGTTTTAGGTATGGCATGTAATCTTGACACTTCATTTATGATAAACTCACAAGCAAACTCACACTTCCATCTTATTATAAAAATATAAATGATCTGGTACAGATATTCTGAACCCATTTAGGGTATGTGGGGGTGAGTACTGACCAAGAGGAACAGAAAGTTCACAGTGAGGGGCAGGACCACTCCAAATCCCGTTCCCTTGACTGTCACTTGTGCAGCGGATGGTGCTCTCCCCAATGAGATTGAAGGTCAGCCCTCTGTTTGGGTGGGAGTCACATGTATAAGATATTTCTTTTCCATAGGGAATATCTCTCAGAGAAGTTCCTGTGTGGTTCCCATTAAGGATAACTGGAGGATCTGTACAAAAGATTTCTAGAAAGAAAACAAGAGTATTAGGTTTCACTAGAGTTTCAATCAAAATGATTGTACAATAATGGTACCCAGGGAGTATGATATAAACACATGTCTTTCTATGAAAATATAACTAAGGTGGATGGAATTTATATATGTAAAACATTTTCTAAGAAGGAACTTAGGAAGGTGAGATTTTAAATTACAGTTTATTGCAAAAGTCGAAAAGACTTTCCAGGTAGCTAAGATTCTAGTCAACTTGAAAGGTAATTAATTTGTTTTTTGTTTTTTTTTCAGCAACCATTTTACTTTCTACTATATGTCAGGGGTGGTAAGAGTCGTGGGCTGACAATGAGATACAAGATAAATAAGGTTTTGGCTCTCAAAGATCTGAAGTTCCAGGGAAATCTTCATGAAGTTTATGAAACGTGGACTATCATTTTCAGCTGATGTAAATGTTTGTTGATGACTGAAGACCATTATTATCAGTGCCAACATCAAACACACAATAGTGTCATCAGAATACATTGATTTCTACAGTCAAATTCAAAAGCACTAGGTAGCTTTTATTTCTTTTTTTTCCCAAGCTATCATTTCTTCCTGCTATTAGTGTATCTATTTCTAGCAATTCTCTCCCTAAAACTAATTTGATGCTTCTAAACTGATATAAATCGAGGAAGAGATACCCAAGCTGTCAGTATTGTATGTATAAACAAGTGAGGGCTTTAGTACATAAAACAATGATTGATTTCTCATACCTGGATTTTAACTATGTGTTTGTGTTTATCCAAAGTTTAATTATAAATTTATTTTCAGCTTTATGTGTGTTGGGAAGGTTGAGTTTGATGGATATCTGAGTTTTATACATATGAAATGCTCTCATAAAGTCCAACTATAATCTCATACAATGAACAAATAGATTTCTAGCAAGGTAGTTTATCAAAATCCAAAGTAAAATGAATATTTTCCAATCATCAAGAAAATGGTATTTCAAAAAGTCTTGCTTTGCTTTGGTAAACAGAGTAGGACAAATCAGTAATCTCTTAGTGTATGACACACTTTTACTTATTTATCAATTTCTGAATCTTTGCACGTTTTATTCAAGTGGGCAGTTTGGAAATTTAGGGCACTGCACCTCATCATTTTAAATACGGACTCACTTCTCTGTACCATACTAATTCTTCACCTAACACTGTTTTCTTTTATCTATAACTTATCAATTTTAACATACCCTTTTATGCATTCAATTTTTTATATGTTTATTTATTTATTTTCTTGTTCATGGTCTGCCTCCCCAAGTGGAAAATGAACTCCATGAAAACAGGGATATGTTCGTCTTTCCTATTCAGTACTTTCCCCATGTGGGAAGTTCTGACATGTCGGGAGCCCCTCCTCAGTCAATACTCCAGACTAAATAACAGGATAAATAGTTTAGATACATGATGGGATAAAAGGACAGATATACATAAGAGAAACTGAAAAATAAATGAATAAATACACTTTGGTAGACCTTTGTACCATCTAATTTCTTTCTACATATTCTCCACAAAAGTCAACCCTGGTATTAACCAGTAACTTATAGATTAGTAACATAAACACAATGTGTAAGACCTACATGACCTGTTTTGAAATTCTTCCAAAAAACTGTATTTTTATAGGTAATTTGGTGAAAGATCCAGACAACAGGTGATTCCATGAGGCACAGCACATTGGAAGTAGAAAGGAGAGGTACCCAGGCTGCATAGCTGTTCTTTCTACTCACGTTCACACACGGGGACACTGCTGTTCCAAAGGCTTTTCATTCCGACCAAGACACAATGACTAGCAGAGCTGCCTTTTAATCGAAAACTAAAGCAAAAAAAAGGGGGGAGAGGGTAGCAAATAGGTAAGCAACTCCCATCTCTTCCTTCCTTATTAATAGATACTCAGGTTGGTCTCTTCAGTCTAAATACCATTTGGTTCTTAGGTTGAGGCCCAGCTGAAAGTCTCTGTTCATTAGGGACCAGAATCAGCAGCTGGCAGGTACTCAGATGCCAAATTATTCTAAAGAATCATGATATTCTGTGGTGGGCAAAGCAATCAGAGATAGCAACTTCATGGTCCTACAGACATCATAGCCCAATGTCACCTACAGAAGTAACTGAACAAAGAGCTGGACCCCTCCTGTGCTCTAGACCCAAACCCCATCTTACAGCCCTGTGACATCCCACTTATTCTCTTTAGTGAGTCACAAGGAAAAACAGTTCTCCATCCAGGTGAGCAAAGCAGAGAACATCTGCAGAGACCTGTCATCGTTCTTCTTGCCACTACATTTGTAACAGCCAGAAAGAGGCTCACTGAAGCATGCTGAGCAAATGTTCTAGAAGAAAAATGATGCTCTGGGAGAAAAATGATGAGGGGAGGAGTCTTTGCCTCCTGGAAATGCATAAGTTATCATTGAACCCTGTTGTCTTTCTAAAATCTGCTCACCGTTATTGGGTAGACTTTGTACCTGTCAAAGATTCCTAGGGAAATGTTAAAATTAACTGCTGTATTGCCCAATCTTGTTACCTCCAACAGAAAGTGCATAGCACTCGGAGTACTAGATGCATATAAAGAACTAATAATACTAACCATAACAATAACACTGGCCATTATGAGCCCAATGTCAATGATATCACTGATAGGGACTTATAATTGATTTAAAACACTTATCCAAATTCTACTATTGATTTATTTTAAATTTCTTAAAAAAAATCCTATCTTTGCTTGACATCATATTACAAATAATGTTTGCCTTATACATCAAACATTTTACTGGCAAAATTTTCATAAAATTACATTTTCTTCCTCTAAATTATAATTTATCCATTTACTTCAAGTATTAACTGTGAATTCAAGGTCAGTTTTTAATTTATATTTGTACTCAACATTGAATTACATACATGTCATGTTTCTTAGCTCCTGATAGTGCTGCTACTAAGTTCTTCCACTTATTGCAAAACTGTCCAGACATTAATATCCCTGGGTATTTCTTTTCCATAGATCTGCTGCCCATTGTGGATTTACCCTTGAACCCAAGAAAGTCACTATCCATGTCACACTCACCCCTCATTACAAATGAAGGACATTTTTGCCCCAAGCTTGAGATTATGTGGAAAGAGCACACGGCCATGAGGAAGTTGGTCCTGGAAGTCACCACATGATTTCACTAAAGAAGAAAACAAATGAAGAAAAGAGTAAGACTACCATGTGAGGTACGAAGAGATTCATCTGAAATAGAAATCAGAAACGCAATAGAAAGGATCAATGAAACTAAAAGCTGGTTCTTTGAAAAATAAACAAAATTTGTGAGTTTCAGTCAGATTAAGAAAAAAGAGAATGACTCAAAGGAAACAAATAGAAATGAGTAATAAGCTATTACAAGTGATACTATAGAAATACATAGGACGATCACAGACTATTATGAATATTTATTTGCTAACAAATTAAGTAACGTAGAGGAAATGAATCTAGAAACACACAACCTACCAAGTCTTAATCAAGAAGAAATGGAAAATCTTGACAGACTAATAACAAGCAGAGAGATTGATTCAGTAATCAAAATATCTCAACACAGAAAACGTCAGGACCAGATGGCTTCACTAATAATTCTACCAAACATTCAAAAAGAATTAAATCAATCCTCAAACTCTTCTAAAAAGCTGAAGAGGAAGGTATATATTCAAACTCATTTTGCAAGGCCAGCATTGTATTACCCTGATACCAAGGCCAGCTAAGGATAGAAGAAGAAAACTATAGGCCAATAACTCCAATGAATATAGATGCAGACATTCTCAGCCAGACATTTGCAAACAAAGTTAAAGTACACATAATCATAATTATACAGCATGAAGTTATCCCTGGAATGCCTATTTCAACATAAGTAAATCAATAAATGTAATACTTCACATTAATAAAAAATATATAAGAATCACACAATCATCTTAAAAAAAAATACAGAAAAAGCATTTGACAAAGTACAACATCCTTTCATAATAAAACCCTTGGCAGACTGGTTATAGAAGGAACATACCTAAACATAATATAAGCCATGTATGACAAACCCACCACTAACATTATACTCAATGGAGAAAATGGAGACTTGTCTCTCTCAGATCAGGAATAAGACAAAGAGTCCCACTCTCCCCACTCTTATCTAATGTAGTACTGGAAGTCCTAGCTAGAGCAATTAGGAAAGACAAAGAAATAAAAGGCATCCAAATTGGGAAGGAAGATGTAAAACTGTCATTATTTTCAGATGATAAGATTCTGTTTATAGAAAATCCCAAATGCTCAACCAAATAACTGTTAGAACTAATTAATTATTTCAGTAAAGTTACAGGATACAAAATCAACATACAGCCCTGGCTGGTTTGGCTCAGCAGTTAAAGCGTCAGCCTGCAGTCCAGAAAGACCCAGGTTTGGTTCCCACTAAGGGCATGTACCTCGGTTGCAGTGTGTCCCCGGCCCTGGTTCAGTCGTGCAGGTGGCAACCACTCGATGTGTCCCTTTCACGTTGATGTTTCTCTCTCTCTTCCTCTCTCTCCCTCCCACTCTATCTGAACAAAATATGGAAAAATGTCCTCAGGTGAGGATAAAAAAATAAATAAATAAACAAAATCAACAGACAGAAATCAGTTGCTTTCCTATGCATTAAGGATAAAACATCTGAAAACAATATAAAGACAACTATTCAATTTACAATAGCATAAAAAAAATACTCAGGAACAAATTTAACCAAGAAAGTGAAAGATCTATACAATAAAAATGACAAGATGTTCCCAAAAAAATCAAAGAAGACACAAATAATTGGAAAGACACACCATATTCACGGATCAGGAGAATTAATATTGTTAAAATGTCCACGATGCCCAAAGCCATCTATAGATTCAATGTAATCTCCACCAAAATAGCAATAGCATTCTTCACAGAAATAGGAAAAAAAAATCTGAGGAAGAAGAATAAAGTGTCCTGATTTCAAACTACACTTCACAGCTGCAGTAATAAAAATGGTATGGTACTGGAACAAAAATGGACGCATAAACCAATGGAACAGAACAAAAAACCTAGAATTAAATTCCTGCTTATATGGTCAACAAGTATTTGACTAGGCAGACGAGAGCACCAGAGAGGGAAAGAATAAGCTCTTCAACAAATGGTGCTGGAAGAAATACATACAGAACAATAAAATTGAATCCCTATCATACACCACTCACAAAAATTAACTCAAAGTAGATCAAAGCCTTAAATATAAGATCTGATACTATAAGACTCTTAGAAGAAAATGTAGGAAAAGAGTTCCTTAATATTAATCTTGGAAATGACTTTTTGGATATGACACCAAAGCACAAACACCAAAAGCAATAATCAACAAATGTGACCACATTGAACTTAAGAACTTTTGCAAAGCAAAAGAAACAATTAACAAAGTAGAAAGACAACCTACAGAAAAATTTTCTTTTTTTAAAAAAATCTTTATTGTTGAATGTAAAATGTATTACAGATGTTCCACATTTTCCCCCCATTGACCCCCTCCTCCCCACTCCCACCCCCCTCCCGCCTTTTCCCACACTATTGTCTGTGTCCATTGGTTATGCATATAAGTTCTTTGGTTTATTTCTTCCCACCCCCCCAACCCCTTTCCTTTTGAGGTTTGTCAGTCTAGCAATGAATTTGTACTTCTTAATCTCTTCACCTTTTCCACCCATTCCCCCAACCCCCCTCCCATCTGGCAACCAACAAAATGTTCTCTGTATCTATGAGAATGTTTCTGTTCTACCTGTTCAATTTGTTTGTAGATTCCATTGTTGATAGATTAGTGAAATGGAGATAAGCAACCTAACAGATGCTGAGTTCAAAATACTGCTTATAAGGATGCTCAATGAACTTAGTGAGGGCTTCAAGAGCATAAAAAAGGACCAATCAGAAATTATGGATGCACAGTCAGAATTGAAGGAGGCATTAACTGAAATAAAGAATAATTTACACAGATTCAATAGTAGAGTACGTAAATCCAAGAAGCAACCATCGATTTGGAATATAAGGAAGCAAAAAACGTCCATTACAGAAAAATTTTCAAACCATATATTGGATAAGGTAATATCTGACATATATAAAGAAGTCATACAACTCAACAGCAGCAAAACAATTTGATTAAAAAATGGGCGGAAGACCTGAATAGACATCTCCCCAAAGAGGATATGCGATGGGCAATGGGCACATGAAAAGATGTTCAACATCCCTAAACTTCAGGAAAATTCAGTTTAAAACCACAAAGAGCCCTGGCTGGTGAGCTCAGTTGGCTGGGCATTTTCCTGTACACTGAAAGGTTGCAGGTTTGATTCCAGGTCAGGGCACATGCTCTGATTGTGGGCTTGATCCCGGGTGGGGAGTGTACAGGAGGCAGCCAGCCGATCAATGTTTGGCTCTCGCATTGATGTTTCTCTCTCCTCATCTCCTTTCCTCTCTCTCTAAAATCAATAAAAACATCTTTAAAAAAATACAAAGAGATGTCTCACATCTGTTAGAATGGCTGTCATTAAGAAGACAAGTGATAACAACTGCTGGAAATCCTTGTGCCCTGTTGGTGTGAATTTAAATTAATGCAAAAACTATGGTAAACAGTATTAAAAACACAACTAGGATATGATCCACCAATTCCACTTCTGGGTATTTTTCCACAGAAAGTGCAAATACTAACTTGAAAGGATATATGCACCCTCATGTTGACTGGAGCATCATTTGCAATAGCCAAGATATGGAAACAGCCTAAGTGTCCATTGATGGATTAATAGATAAAGAAAATATAGTACATATATACAATAAAATATTACCCAGCCACAAAAAAATAGGACTTGTCATTTGTGATAACATAAAGGACTTTGAACACATTGTGGTAAGTGATGTAAGTCAGATAGAGATAGACAAGTGCTATATAATATCACTAATAGGTGAAATTGAAAACAGCCAAACATATAAAAACAGAGAACAAATGGTAGTTACCAAGGAATGGTGGATGAGGGGACAAGACAGATGTTGTTTAAGTGTATAAACTTAGAACAAATAGTAGATAATCTCTAGAGATACATTGCACAGTAAAGTGAAGATAGACAACAATATTGTATTATTATCATCAAACTTGCTAACAGACTAGAAGCTAATTATTCTAACTACTCAAAAGAAAGGATAATTATGTATCAGGATAGAGATGCTAATTATAGCTACAATGGCAAATATCTTATAATATATGAAGGCATCAAATTAACACACTGTACACTTAAAATTTATACAATGTTATATGTCAAATATACTCCAAAAAGAGATATTATAGAATTATACACCCAAAGCCTATATAATTTTATTAACCAATGTCACCCCAATAATTCAATTTAAAAAAAAGAAAATTATTTTTTTAAAAGAAAAATATTAAAAAAAATAAGGCATGGGAAATGAAATAATCACTGATTCAGGGATAATAAAAGTGATAAAAGACTATTAGGTTCCACTAGAGCATAATAATTTTTAAAATATTGGTATAAATAACTACACACATTCACATACACATATATAACCAATATTCACTCAGCTAAATGTTTATTGACTTAAAAATACCATAGAAGTGGATACATTTTTTATTAGAAATAACCCCCTACAAAAGATGTTAGACCTAAAAGAAGTTTTACAGTCAACTGATAATACCTTGGTAATTGAAAGTTTTTTAGAGAATTTAAATTATGGGCAGGTTAAGGAGGCACCTTGTACAACTTCTTATTTATTTTTTTGCATCTTTAAAAGCCAAAGTTAGTGTGTGTGTGTGTGTGTGTGAATACAATAAGTAAATTCACTGTAGGAATTTATAAAATATGAACAAATATAAAGAATAAAATAATAATGATCCAAAAATAAGTATTTCTGATAATTTAATGCATATCATGTCAGATATGTATGTATGTACATGAATGTGTGTCTATGGGTATATTTTCTAGAATATGATATTTGTAGCTGGATAATATTCAAGCATGTAGATAAATGGATATAGTGTTTATTTCCACTTGGATGAGGCATCTCAATCTCTTAATTTCTCATGGTATACCTATACCTTTCTTAAAATGTATGATCATTTTTAATAAGCTCCATTTCTTCTATTAGCTATTTTCAAACCATGCCGACATTTAGATTCTTACATTTTTCACTATTATAAATATTATTGCATTAAGTGCCTTTAGACCAAAATCATGGGAAAATCCCACGATTATTTTCTTGGGATAAACTCTAGAAAATGGAATTGCTAGGTCAAAGGGTATTTGCATTATAGTTTTTGCATATATCCCTCACTAGGCTTCTAGAAGTTTGTACCCACTTTTACTGCCATCAACTCAGCATGTGATACTGATTTTTTTAAACAGCTTTAACACTCTACCAATTTGTAATCAGACAGTCTTCTATGTTCCTCACAGTTTTGGAGATTCACTTTACAATATCCCATTGAATAGACAGTCAACTAATCACGAACAAATACAACTAGGGCTGGAGCATGGAAGACTTTGAAGGGAGAAGAAAGGGCAGAATGACCAAAAGGCTTGGGGAAATTGTTAAGAAGAATACATTTTTCTTTCATCATTCAGAGTAAGGATAATAAGGAAGAGAGTAATCTCTCTTCTTCCTGAGGTTGTTATGTGCTATTAAGAGGTAGCAGAGACAGGGTTAGGCGAGTAGAGCAGTTTTACCTGAGTTCAAGTACACAGTTTCAGATAAATTCTCTCTTAAAATTAAGAACCAAAACCAAAACAGGAGGACCCTGCAGCACATGACTCCAATATGCAAATATCTGAGAGGCTACTCTGTGCAAGAAGGATCATATGTCTTCTTTGGGACTACAGAGTCAAATCAGGATCAACTGGAGGGAATTATGGGGAAAAGTATTTGCACTCACACGCACAAACAGGTGCCTTCTTATCCCAAGTGACACTATTATTGCCTGAGAGGTGACAAACAGCAAATGGAGAGCCAATGAGTTGATACCTAGAAACAAGATGAAAATGATTATACCCTACACATATTTCTCACTTAAGTCACAATGAGGAAATAATACCAAGAGGGTTTTACCAATTACAGGACAAATTAAAACATGGGAGACGAAAGGAAGAAACTCTATCTCCATCTGCAAATTAGTCCTTTATTGTTAAGAACAAGTTTAAATTCCTACCTCTTTAATCCATCTTCATTTCTAGTCCTGCACGAACACAATGCAATAATTATGTTATTTACGTGCAATCTCTAGCCCTAGTCCAAAGACATTTAAGCTTGTGGTGTTGAAGGGATATTTGTTGATTGAAGGAATGTGGGAATTATTCTTTTTTCAGGAAATATATCTAATTGGTATATGTAATGGGTTCTTGGTTATGTGAGACTATACTTCTATGCCTTGGCAGAGTACAGATATTTTATGGCACAATATTTTCCCTCAAAACACAAATTTCCACCCTTTAGTGTGTGGAAGAAACATCTGATGAGCATATAATTTTTTTCTGTTTATTTTATCTCTGGAGAGTTGTACATTTTTTAAATGTCTGGATTTCATATATTTTCTCCATGGAGGGTGAGGGCCTTTTATCATTAATCTTGCATTTGTTCAATAAGCCTTAGGATTTCAACAATCTAACCTTTTTCTTTCTAACCTGGGAAAGTATGTTCCATATCTCCTAATTGATACTTCATCAATTTTTACTTTTTAATTTTTTTCTCATGTCTTAATATGTGTGATTGTGTGTGTATATGTGTGTGTGTGATTTCCAGTCTTATCCTTCATTTATTCTGGAGAAATTAATCCAATTTCATGATCTGTTTGGTTTCTTTTTCCTTTATTTAGAATTCAATCTTCTGATTATTGTTCCTTTTTAAATCTACTGTATGTTTATTCATATATAAACTTTACCAATATCGGATCATTAAATCTCAGAAATACCTCTTACTACTTCATAGGTTATATGTTACAAACAGATATGAGAGATTTCTAATATCCTGTTTTGGAGTTCATTCCCTTATTTATTGGAGTACACAGATTTGTAGAGGAATGTTTTCTCTGATTTCTCAGATTGGTCTTTTATATTTTCAATTGCTGTATCTTTCTTCCTTCTTATGTCATGGTGTTGTATTTTGTTCATGACAGAAAGAGCTTTAGGCTTATTCACAATGAGAGGTGAGAAGGGATTGGTGAAGAGATTGTATGGAAAGGTGTTTAAAGCTCCAGGCTCCGACAACGTGAGCAGGAGTGAATATTGATTTATTCTACTTTAAAATAGCTGGGTCATAGGTACAATACATAGATCTTACTTGGGTAGAATAGCATGGAGCCAGTGACCAAGGGCAGTGTATGCAGAAAGATGTAATATACATATATACCTTATTTCTCTGAATTTATTGTAGCAACTAAAAATACTACTTTCTTTCTTTTTGGCGCGTGCCCCTAGCGGGTACTGAACCTGGGTATCTCTGGTCTGCAGGCCGACACTCCAACTGCTGAGCCAAACCAGCCAGGGCAGTACACTTTCTTTAATTGCTCCCTCTAAGTAGGGGTATTGGCTTCTAGCTCGGTTACTGTCAAGGAAAATTCAAGAGCAAAAACTCCAGTAGGGTCCCCTCTCTGTGTGCATTTTAGTGCTCATATTTCCTAGAACTGCTATGACATAACATTTACCCTCCCAATTCCTTCTTTAGGTCCTCCAACTCAGCTACAGTACTTGCTGATCTCAGTTAAGGATGTTTGCATCATTCAATGAGTATTTTTCATTTTACTGACTTGGTAGGCTGGTCCTTTTTATCCAGTGGATATCTTACCAGGTTCATATGTGCTACCTTTGGCAGGAGCATGGTTCCCTCCCGGTTTATAATGCAGATATAGACTCCTCCTCCATTTTTAGATTATTTTGGTCATATGCCTATGTTGAAGTCCTGTTGCTTACTTTTTGAAGTACAGGGGGCAGTCGTCTAGTTTGCTTATCAAAGACTGGGACAGAGATGGACACTGCTGTTCTGGAACCCATATTCCAGAGAGAGTGCTCCCAACTCACCCTTCATTACAAGAATAATTAACTGATGATCCAAAATGGGTATCTGTGTTTATATGCACCATGCCATTGATGGGTTCTTGTGGAGTTCCACATGATTTTCCTATGAGGAAAAAGCAGAATTTGGGACTAGGTATATAGTTCAACTCACATTTGTTTTTAAGATTCAGACTGGAGTGTAGCATACTGAACAGCTTATATATTTGTGAGTTTCCTAAAGAATTGCCACTTTGAGGAAACTCGCCATACAACCTTAGAATCAAGCAGCTACAGAACGCCACTTTTAAAGGACTACCTTGCATTTCCCATTAAAAGTCATTCATGGCTAAAGAATGGTTTCTCATCATACCAGTTAAATCAAAGGCTTCATAATTTGGGATTTCCCTCCATCTTAAGTTAGCTAACCATGGTTCACTGTGACCCACATCGTTTTCTTTTGTGTCCCTTTTTTATTCATTTCATGGTTTTAGCCATAAAAGTAACCTTAAGTCAGTGGAAAATTTCCCTCTAATTCCTTCTGTGTGAATCTTTCCTATGAAATGAATATTGGGTCAGGGTGCAGAAATCCAGACAATAAAAAGGGTTGACCTGCAAGTCCACCCTCCATTTAAATATGTTGGGCAAACTTAGATATCTCACCTTCAAAAAAATAAAAATAAAAAAATCAAATCAGATCCCACAGATGCTTTAACATACATAAATTAGTTCCCAGAATGGGGTTACTCACGTTTACAGATATCTTCGGCACTTGACCAGACCAAATGTTCTAAGCAGGTGATAGAGAATGTTCTCTCAAAATACCCAGGGGAGCATCTGTAGTTCAAAGATGTTCCAACTGGAAACTCAGACTCATCAGTTAGGGTTGTAGACTTGGCAAATAGAAATTGTTCTGGAGCTTTACAGTAACCTAGAGACCAAAGCCACAGGAATATCAATGTGAGCAATGAGACTTCCACTCTACCTTTCTTTCTCTCCAATTAAGGTGATATTTGAGATAACAGAAACAGAGACTTATAATAATTGCAAAGATTTCCTTCTTCTTGAAGTCACCTTAGGATGGTTCTTTCCAACAACATCTACTCATCAAAAAATGTTTGCCACTTAAACACTATTCAATCAGCTTTATGGACTGTCTTCTCTTATTTCACCAAAGTATAAAATTTAGCTAATAGTTTCATATGTCAGACCTCCTATCAGAGTGCCTGCATCTAGAGTTGACCATTCATATCTTCATTTATTGGTGTTAATATACCCATGTATATTTATTGTCTCTCTCCATTTATTCCTCCCTGCCTCTTTCTCAGGATGTCCATCATCACCTGCATCTCTGGCAATAAAGGGCAGCCACTACTTGTAGTGAGTTGAATGATATTCTTCCAAAAGATACATCCATCCAGAATCTCACAATGGGAACTCATTTGGAATAGGGGTCTTTTCAGGTATAATTAAGGTAGTGATCTTTAGATGAGACTATTCTAGATTACCAGGGTGGGCCTAAGTTCAATGACTAGTGGTGTACTTAGAAAAGAAAGGGGGATTTGAGACACAGAGACACAGGGGAACAGGCCATGTGAAGACAGAGGCAAGGATTGGAGTGATGAGTCCACAAACCAGAAGCCACTAGAAGCTGGAAGAGGCAAAGAAGGATTCTCCTCTAGAGCCATAGGAAGGATTGGGGTCTTGCCAACACCTTGATTTCAGACTTCTAGCTTCCAGATCTGTGAGAGAATAAATTTCTATTATTTTAAGCCACCTAGTTTGTGATAATTTGTTATGGCAGCCCTAAGAAACTAATAGACCATTCTTCTCATTCTGATGTTAAATCAGACATTTAAGGAGAAGGACAAGGACAAAACAGATTAAGCCATTAGGCAGCATCCTCTAAGAAGCTATTTCTTCTTTATGAGAGGGTACATTGTATGCTGCACATTTTGAAACAGAGCCTAACTCAACTATCTCTTCTTTGGAGGAGACTGATTCTGTAAGCCAATTCAATAAGACTGGCTGGAGTCTAGGGATCCGCATTTAAAGAAATGTCACTAGATTCTGATGTATACCACCCAGTTGGAGGGCGAGGGAGATCAAAGGAATGTCAAATGCTTTTCATCATGTGTGGCCTTTTCTCATTGGATGGCTCTTGTCTCTCAGGATTCCCCTGAAGGGGAAGTGGTATTCCAAGGCTAGTGCCATACCCGAGTCTACTCCAGGCTCCATTCTTAGGAAGGCCTCAAGTACCAGGCAATCTTCTCCAGTCCTTAGAAAGAAATAGTCCAGAGACTTCTGGTCAAGATGGCTGCGTAGGTAAACGCGGTATTGGGTCCTCCCACAACCACATCAAAGTTACAACTAAACTACAGAAAACCATCATTCAAAACTGCCTGAAATCAAGCTGAATGGAAGTCCTACAATTACGAAATTAAAGAAGCAGTCACGCCTTGGCTGGTTTGGCTCAGTGGTTGGGGTGCCAGCCTGCGGTCCAGAGAGACCTGGGTTCGGTTCCCGCTAAGGGCATGTGCCTTGGTTGAGGTTTGTCCCCAGCCCTGGTTGGGTCATGCGGGTGGCAACCACTCGATGTGTCCCTTTCATGTGGATGTTTCTCTCTCTCTCTCCCCGTCCCACTCTATCTGAACAAAATGTGGAGAAATGTCCTCGGGTGAGGATAAAAAAAAAAAAGCAGCAGCCACATTGAGACTGGTAGGAGGGGCAGAGGCACAATGGGCTGGTCCCACATCCACATGTGGTGGATAAAAATGAAGAGGGACACCTTGGCTGGGAAGGTCCTCCCTGAGGAATGAGGGGTCCCTGTTCCACACCAGGCACCTAGCTCAGGCTTCAAGTGCCAGGAAGAGAAATCTCCATAACTTCTGGCTGGAAAAACCAGTGGGAACTAAGACTGAGGGAGGCTGAGGCAGCTGCAGCCCCATACAGCTCCTCTTAAAGGGCCCAAGTATGGACTTACTCGGACTCACACCCTTCAGGCTCCAGCACGGGGGAGGCAGCTTGAAAGGCACCAGAGACATACAGGGGAAGAACTGAGTTGTTTGACATTGGAGCGAGGGCTGAAGAGGCAGCTTTCTCCTGGACAGACCTGATGTCAGAGGCTTTTGTTCCTTTGGTGAACCCTTCCCTGGGGTGGCAGACAGCCACCATATCTGGGACTCCAGCAACCTGGCTCACACTGTTTGCCCCACCCTGGTGATTCCCTGAGGCCCTGCCCCACCCATCTTTCAGGCCCACCCAAGCTATTGCCAGTTGCTTTACCATAGGATTGGCCCATCATCGATCCTGCTTCAGGTTTTCTTAAATTCTTTCAAAGAAGCAGCACATGGTCTCAGTTAGCCCCATACCTCTAATTAAGTAATACATAGAAACAAACACAAGGAAGCAGCCAATAGAGGAGACAAACCCCCCCCCCCCAAAAAAACAGGTCCCAAATGAAAGAACAGAACAAAACTCCAGGAAAAGAACTAAGGAAAATGGAGATAAGCAACCTAATAGATGCTGAGTTCAAAACACTGATTATCAGGATGCTCAATGAACTTAGTGAGGGCCTCAAGGGCATAAAAGAAGACCAGTTAGAAATGAAGGAGGCTCAGTCAGAAATGAAGGAGGCACTAACTGAAATAAAGAATAATTTACACAGATTCAATAGCAGAGTAGGTAAAGCCAAGAAGCAAACCATTGATTTGGAATATAAGAAAGCAAACAACACCCAATTAGAACAGCAAAAAGAAAAAAGAATCCAGAAAAATGATGATATTGTAAGGAGCTTCTGGGACAACTTCAAGCGTGCCTACATTTGCATCTTGGGGTGCCAGAAGGAGAAGAGAGAGAAGAAGAAATCAAAAAGCTATTTGAAACGATAATAGAAGAAAACTTCCCTAACTTGGTGAAGGAAACAGACATACACATCCAAGAAGCACAGAAAGTCCCAAACAAGATGAACCCCAAGAGGCCCACACCAAGACACATCATTATCATCAAAATGCAAAAGGTTCATGACAAAAAGAGAATCTTAAGAGCATCAAGAGAAAAGCAGTTAGTTACCTACAAGAAAGTTCTCATAAGACTGTCAGCTGATTTCTCAAAAAAAACTTTGCAGGCTAGAAGGGAGTGGCAAGAAATATTCAGAGTGATGAAAAGCAAGAACCTACAACCAAGATTACTCTATCCTGCAAAGCTGTCATTTAGAATTGATAGACAGATAGTTTCCCAGACAAGGGAAAGCTAAAGGAGTTCATCACCACCAAAACATTATTATATGAAATGTTGAAGGGTCTTCTTGAAGAAAAAGATAAAAAATATGAACAAACAAAATGGCAATGAATACATGTCTATCAACAATTGAATCTACAAAGAAAATGAACAAGCATAACAGAAACATTCTCATAGATACAGAGAATTTTCGTTGGTTGCCAGATGGGGGGGGGGGGTGTTGAGGGAATGGGTGAAAAAGTGAAGGGATTAAGAAGTACAAATTAGTTGTTAGACTGACAAACCTCAAAGAGAAGGGGGGTTGGGAGGTGGGAAGAAATAAATCAAAGAACTTATATTCATATATGCATAACCAATGGACACAGACAACAGTGTGGGGAAAGGCAGGAGGGGGGCAGGAGGAGGTCAATAGGGGAAAAATGAGGAACATCTGTAATACATTCAACAAGATAAGTTAAAAAAAAAGAAGATAAGATATTGTTTTACACTTTTGATCAAAGATTATAGATAAGGAATTTCAGGTAAAAAACTTGTCTGCTGATGCTAAACAAACAAACAAACAAACAAACAAAAAAACAGGTTTCATGAATCCCCCTCAATACTGCCCAAATCCTTATAACTCTTGTGTGTGTGTTTTTTTTTTAATCCTCACCAGAGGACATTTAAAAAAAAAAAAAGAAGGAAGGAAGGAAGGAAGGAAGGAAGGAAGGAAGGAAGGAAGGAAGGAAGGAAAGAAAGGAAGAAAGAAGGAAAGAAGGAAAGAAAGAAGGAAGGAAAGAAAGAAGGAAAGAAAGAAAGAAAAAAGAAGAAAGAACGAAGGAAAGAAAGAAAGAGAGAAATTGTCTGTACCTATTTGCATTATTTTCCTTGAGCTGATCTGTCCTTACTTCTTCTCACTCCCAGAATGAAAGTTCAATCACAAAGATTAAGATGGGACCCAGAGGCAAGCTGACAAATGGGTCTACTATGAGTTGAGGTCTTTAGATACAAAGGTAAAGTGAGTCCTTTTTGTTACTTAATTTCTTCAGCCTAAGACTAGCTAAAGCCTTAGCTAAATAATATTCATATTACCAGTTTTATCCTTTGCATGCCCATGAATTTGCAGAGTGTTTATCAGTTATCCTGATATTAATTAGTGTGCATAGGCAATTGTTTCCCCATCCCCTTCAATGAATGCATTTTTCTTCCTGATTTACACAAGAAGTGTTTACTGCCTTCTCTCCACCCTTCCCCTTACTCCCCTTACCACTCCTTTCCTTACCACTCCACCAGCAAGATGAGTTATTAATTAGCACCTTCCTTACTCAGACACAGCTGGGCACTGCTGGAACCATCTGTTTTAGGTATGGCATGTAATCGTGACACTTCATTTATGATAAAGTTAAACTCACAAGCAAACTCACACTTCCATCTTATTATAAAAATATAAATGATCTGGTACAGATATTCTGAACCCATTTAGGGTATGTGGGGGTGAGTACTGACCAAGAGGAACAGAAAGTTCACAGTGAGGGGCAGGACCACTCCAAATCCCGTTCCCTTGACTGTCACTTGTGCAGCGGATGGTGCTCTCCCCAATGAGATTGAAGGTCATTCCTCTGTCTGGGTGGGGGTCACATGTATAAGATATTTCTTTTCCATAGGGAATGTCTCTCATAGAAGTTCCTGTGTGGTTTCCATTAAGGATAGAAGGAGGATTTGTACAAAAAATTTCTAGAAAGAAGACAAGAGCCATAAATTACATTAAAATGTTTACCTTTTCATCTGCCTCGATCCTACAGTTATGGGATGCTATGATTGCATGCCAATTAAAGAACAATTAAACTCTTAGGGAGAGTATAGACTGCAAAATAAATGTATTATTATCCTCTGCTGTGAGGTAGCTAAATGAAATGACACCTAAATCAATATTTATTACAAAGTTCAAAAGGGACTTTAGCATCCTGAACTCTTCAGAGAGTTAAGACTTCTGGATGATTGAGAGCTTATTTATTTAAAGTAAACAAAAATCTTCTTAACCACATTAATAAGAAAACCACTTCTTTAATGAGAAAATCATCCATTAATTCAGCAAGCAGTTTTTCAGCAACTACTATATATCAAGTACAATTTTAAGCACAAGATAGACAAGTTCTTTTAACATCAAGGATCTTCATCCTAGAGAAATCTTTGAAAATATATTATACATTTACTATTTCTCTATCAGTGATGTAATCTTTTCTGGATGACTTGAGGTTGTTATTCTCGACAACAAAATGAATGTTTATGGTGCTGTCATAATGAAGTGAAACATCCTCCCTACTGCTGTTCATGCTCCAAAAGGCTAACAGATATTATGACTTTTGAGATACTCAATAGTCCTTCTCACTGAAGAAATACATGTTTCCTCTTTTGAGTGTAACTATTTGGAGAGGTTCTTTTCCCCTTATGATTTGATCTGTACTTGGGAAGAAGATACTACAACTTGAGAGAATCATGGATAAACTAATCATAGAGTGGAATAGCTTAACCAACATTTACACTCTAGGAAGCAATTTCAGGTATATCTTTGGGTTGATGAGAGTATTTTTTTTCTTCTTTCTTATTTCATGCTCCTTATCTGTACTTTAGAAAAGCTAAGATTTTCCATTAGGTGAGTTCCAAATATGAAAGACCTAATTATCAAGTTTCATTATATAAATCAGTACAAGAAGTTCAAATAATTTTAAAGCAAAGTAGTCATGTAAAAAGTTCTATTATAAACAGGTATTTTTCAATAGTTATGATCAGAAGATGAAGGAATATTTTGTTTGATTTAGTGAAGAACTATATGGACAGACTGGATATATTGGTAGTGTTTCTATCTTTAACACACTATATTTCTGTTATCTGAGAAACAAACAAAAAATAATTTTCTTAATCCCACCTCTCTGCATCTATAGTTCCATTTCTCTACTCCCTTTACATTAGAACTCCTTTAAGATGTTGCCTATGACCTCTCATTCCTTCCCTTCATTCTCCCTTGAACTCATTCCAATCAAGCATATGCCTCCACAACTCTACTAAAACTGATTTTATTTTTGGTCAAGGTCACCCATTACCCCCAAGTCACTAAACCCAGTGGTAATTTTCTGTCCTCATCTTATTTGACCTCTCCACAGAATGTGAATAGTTGCTTGGTCTCATCTTCTTAAAATAGTTGCTTAGTCTTACCATCTTTCTCCACTTGGCTTCCAAGATACTCTCATCCCTCTGGTTTTTCTCTTAACACACTGGCTGCTTCTTCACCTTTTCTGCTGATTCCTTCTCATGTTTCCGAGTTCTTATTGTTGGATTTATGAGGTTTAGATCATGCGTCTGTTCTCTGGACACATTCACTCACTAGGTGACCTCATTTAGTCTCTATTTTAATCTCTCTGTGTAAACCATCAGCAAATCCTGTTATTTCTACCTTCCGAATGTATCCAGAATGTGACCAGTTCTTATTACCTCTCCCACCGTTATCCTGGGTCAACATTTCTGATCATATTTCTGCAGTAACTTCCCAGTTTGTACCCTCAGGTTTTCTTGGCTATGTCTGACTTTTGGCCCCTCAGCTGCTTTCTCAATTGAGAGCGTGAACTGATACCACTCCTACCTCATTTCCAAACATTACTGGCTGTCTTAGCCTCCCCAAGGGTGAAATATGGGCTCCTGCATAGCCTCTGCTATTCCATTGCAGTGAAGGTCAAATTAGCACCCACATCCAAGCCAATGACCATATTTATGGCCACTTTGGCTCCTTCTACTTCTAGGCTTAGATTGAGTATCATGCAGCAAGTCATGTGAGGTGTTCCCAGAGTCTGACCAGAGGATGAATTAACACAATATGGAAGCCAGAGGCTATTAATACCCTTGGGATGAACAGGAGACAGGAAAGATCCAACAGATAAACTGCTTTTCCTCTTTCTAAAGTGTTCTGGTTCCTTATAGAAGTTCTATATGACCAAACATTCAGCTATTTTTCTTGGGAAGCTTATGGCCAACTCAGTAAAATAGTATCTTTTATTTATTTGCAGAGGCTATGCAGGAGCCCATGCCTCCCTTTTTGTAATCCTTCCTCCATGCCTCCCTTTTTGTAATCCTTCACCCTTGATACTCTGGGATTGTACCCTCCAATGGAACATTATAATATGAACTTTGCCTCTGGTACTATTGCTATTGTAACTACCTGGGGAAGGCCAGACATCATAAGTATGGTCATCTGGAGCTGCAACTTTACACTCCCCAGGGAACCACTGGTCCATTCCCTGCATATCACTGGGGGAAGGGGTCCAACAAAGGGAGATATGGATGCATGGGGCAGTGAAGTCAGGGTGATGTAAGAAAGTTTAGTCTAATCTGTGAAAAAGATAATTGGCTCGAGGGAGTGGAGCCACTGCAAGCGTGCCAAATCCTGAATGATTCATTCAATATGCTCCTATTTATAATCCCCCAAACAAAAAATTCTCTCTTCCTTGTTCTGCTTGCATTCCTATTTCTTGCTTGCTCTGTGACCCATGTTCACTTCCATAGCTATGTGGCCCATGCAGCTAGGAACACAAACCAGGCTAGCCAGGTGCTGGACTGGACTGTGCTTCAACAGGGGATGGAAACTTTGGACATTGGCTTTAATCCTAGCTCTGCTGAACACAATGTGACTTTTTCCATGGTGGGACAGAGGGAGATAAGACCTTGGAGACTCAGGGGTTTAATTCCATAGAAATAAAGCTTTCCATGATACCTCATCCTCCCAGGGGGGCCTCAGGATATTCTTGTTCCTATCACACCCCAAGAATCCCATTCCCCCTACCAGTAACAGTACTATTTTCAGGGGAATGTCCATTTAAGATATACCCTTTGCAACTTAGTTCTTTCTAAAGTAGCCAGAGTAATATCATTAAAAATAAATTAATACTTTTTTTTTAATATATCGTGTTACTTTTCTACTCATAATACTTAAGTGACTTTCCATCTAAGAGTGAAAACGTAAGTACTGAAAGGATGTAGAATTACTTTTTTTTTTTTTTATCATCTTCTACTACTGCTGTGTTTGCTTACTCTATGCCAGCAATATAAGCTTCAGGGAAATGTTAGAACAGGCTTTTCAAAGGAAATGCCAAGAATATTTCTGCTTTGGGCCTTTCTTTGTACTTTGTTCCATTCGAATGGAAGGTTCTTCTTCTATTTAATTCACATTGGTAGTCAGCTAATTGCAGCCAATGCTTAAATGTTACTTTCTCAGGGAGGACTTCCTTAATCACCTTATTTAAAATGAAAACTTTATCTTTTTTCTGGCATTCCTTATTCCCATTCACGTAACTATTCTATTGCATTGCCGTGTTTTTCTTTTTTCTTTCTTAATAACACTTAGTATTACTTAAATTGTCTATGTGTTTCCTCATTTATTTGTTATTTCTAAAAAATCTTTCTTCTTGTTCAAGAATATAAACAATGTGGGAGCAGGGACCTCGTCTGTCTTGTTTACAGGCACACTCCTTGTGTCTAGAAGACTGTTTGGCAGTGCTAAGAAAATAAATATATGAATGAATGGGTGAATTAGAAAATGATAGAAAAGCTGAAGTGTGATTATTGCTTTTGACAGCAAAAAAGGGAAAATTAGGCACTTTCAGAGCACAAATTTCTCTCCATCTATAAAGTATTTCTTCCCATTTATAGCACATAGTATGATATTAAATATTTTTTTGGATGGTACCCAAAACACATAAAGCTCCAGTTTATTGTCCCCAAAAAGCATTCCTTTTAACTCACCCAAAAAAGGAATATTTCTATAAAAAATGAAGATAAGAGGAGCAGACACTTGATAATTTTATGGGCCAAAAACGCAGTAAGAAGATAAAAAAAGAAGGTGAAAGATTCAGGCCTGAAGAGATATTCCTTTTACTCACGTTCACACACAGGAGCGGTGTTACTCCAAAGGCTTTCCATTCCAATCAGGACACAGTAACTAGTAGAACTTCCCTTTAAATGAAACCTAAGGAACACAAGCAGGTGAGCATACCATTTCTCTTTCCCCTTCATCGATAGATCTCAGCTTCTTCCTTTCTGCTAAAATACAATTTAATTCCTCAGTTAAATCCCATATGGAAAGCTCAGCTCATTTGGTTTCTCAGTATAGAGGCTCAGAAACCAGAACATTTTGAAAAATTGCAGCTTCCCACGAGGGACAAAGCAATAACTGTCAAAGCTCAGCAAGGGACAGGCCTGTAGAGAAGGAACAGAAAACGTAGGCAGGCATTTTCTTAATCTGGTCCCAGACCTTCAGGAGGTCATCTTTTCCTGACTGCTCTCTGACAGGTCCCTTTTTGTCATTAGGAAGAACTTTTTTCTCTAATGCAAAATGTAGCATATTCTTCTCTTAGTGGACCAGGAGGAAAACAGTTCCTGATTTAGGATAGCAAATCATAGACCATAGGAAAGATATCAGAGACTGTACTTGTTGCCAATACATGTGAAATATTCCTGAATGAGACTTATGGCATATCTGGATTATTGAAGAGTAGAACAAGATTAATGAGGAAAAAAAGAAGAGGTGAGAAGATGGGATTCTTTAGAGCACAATTATCCTAAAACATCTGGTTTGTTGTCAGACCACTGGTCTCCTGAATTGCCTCCAGATCTTAATTGAATGACATTTAATGACTATCAAAGAGTCCTTGAAATTGTTGACCCCAATAATGAATGTACCTGTTAAAGAGGGTTTTTAATGGCTAATCAGGCTCAAATTTATAAACAGAGCATAGCAGCCACTGGTAACAGGAGCCTCTTACGCAAGCCATGCTTCAGGGAGAACTGTCTGCCCTGAACTGCCTGCCCACCACACTGCATTGTGGCCTACACTGTGTGTTCTTGCCAGAAGAGCCAATCCTTATAAAGGAGTTCCTGGAATCATATTTCAACCAATAGGACTGTGACTTTCCCCATCCATTTGGAGCTGCACAACTATATCCTCATTAGTATCTCCACTGACCATCTCTATTTTGACCAATGAAGACAATGCTTTCTTTGACCAATCAAAGAGTGAAGATTTGGAGTCCACATTTACATGATAATGGACCAGTCAAGGACAAGAAGCAGGGACCTCCTCTGTATAAGTCAGTTTCCCTCTGGGTCAGGAAGCACACTTTCCTTTTCCACTAAAGCCTGTGTTTCCCTCCCTGGAGCTGTAACACTGAAGCTGAGTTGCCAGACTGCCTGGAGAGGGGACCCAGGGCCACTTGCTCCAGGGCTATTCCACAGCTGTGGTGTATGATAATTGAGCTGTAACACTACTGAGCTGTCTCACAGCCAAGTTGTATGATAATTGAGCTGTTCCACAGTCATGCTGTTCTGAAGCTGTGCTGCATCACAACTGAGCTGTTAGCACTGAACAAAATCTCCTTCTTCAGTGCACCCAAAATTGGTGACCGTCAGTTGGACAAAATACATTGGGAACTGCTCTAAGGTACATGCTTTTTACCTGTCAATAGTGTTGGAACATGATACCAAGATCACTTAGACTCACACAAAAAGTTAGTAATGCTTCTTGTTTTCATGCTTCTTCAACCAACCTAATACTAATTTGATTAAAAATACTTCTACATAGTCTTTTATAGCTATTCCAATTCCACTAGTGACTTCAAACTTTCCTGAAACAATCCTTGAATGTTGCTTATCTTATAGGTAACACTTTTTTTTTTTAATATACTAAACTTCTTTTTAACACCACGTCTAGGATATTTATCTCTTTATGCCCACAAATTACTATTTGTCCATACACTTAAATATTCCACCTAGATAGATAAGATCTGTTGTTATAGTTCTGCTGTTCTGTTTATTTACCAATTTCCCTTTTCATATATCTGTTCGTGGTTCCATATGGTTCTTACCATACTTCTCAGTCTTTGTTTCAGACATTAGACTCTTTCTCCCATTAGGCAGCCTCCTTCTTGGATAGATCCCCATTGCCCAGGGTGTCAGCATATCAGCATCCAACACTGAGTCCCTGGTCTCTATTTCAGGTCACACTCACCCCTCATCACACACGAAGGACACTTTTGCTCCAAGCTCGAGATTATGTGGAAAGAGCACACGGCCATTAGGAAGTTGGTCCTGGAAATCACCACATGATTTCACTAAAGAGAAAAAAAATAAATGAGGAGTAAGACTGCCATGCGAGGCACAAAGAGATTCATCTGCAAACCGGATGACAGTGAGTGTAGGCACCTGCACATCTGGGGGCTGCTGGGCTCCAGTCTCCCTGGGGCGTACAGCGCAGAGAGGCAGCCCCTCTGAGGTCATAGCCGGACTCACAGCTGTAGAGCACTTCCTGCCCGGGGGAAAAGCTGTCCTTATGGCTTAGGGTGTGCTTACCATGCAGGATTTCTGGAGGTGGAGGACATACTGAGGAAAGAAGAGGTACAAAGTTCCTGTCAGTTACAGGGAAATACTTCTTGCTAAATCTTAACCCAAGGAGTTAGAAACTCATAATTAAAGGAGTTCGGGTCTAAAAAAGGAAGTCAAGTGATACCCTAACTTCTTAATTTTACCTATGTGGAAGTTAAGAATAGGGAAGAGATGTAGTTAAAGGCCCCATAGAGGGTAAGAGATAGAGAATTAAACCCCCCTTCTTCCCTGCACAAGGTCTAAAATATATTCATAAATCTAGCAGGCATGGGACTCCTTATGGTGCTGGCTAATCAGTATGAAGGTGTTCATACTGGGCTTTCCCATGTACACATTTGCTACAAGGCAACACGATTTACAGCCTCAGCTTCCAGGTAATGAGAAGATTGCCTGGGTTTAAATCTATTTAAAAGATTTCCCTTCATCTCTGTTATTGCATTCTTATGATCTAAGTTTAACAATCATTCATATTTATATTTCTGTCTGGTTGATGTCCCAGCCGCTCTCTCAGTGATTGCACAGGCTGATATGGGCTGGTACAACTGTAAGCTCCCTCTCTGTCCATATGTATCAGCCACAATATTTACCAATCCACTCCTAAGCCAGCTATTATGGCACAAGAAGACATGGCAAGCCACCGAGAACAAAATCCCCTCAATATGCCGGTCCTTGTACCAAGAGGGCATATTGCTTAGAGAGTATTTGAGTCAAGGTCTGGCTGCCTCCATTCTCAGTCCTTTTGATGTGTTCTCAGGGCATTAGAATTCAATGGAACATCAACCTAATCTATATCTAATTAAAGATGAATGAAAAATTTATCTTTTAGCAAGTGACTGTCACTTTCAACTTCAGATTTCTAATGGTAAAATGTAGGAGGTAGAACAGAATAGACAAACTCTAAAGTCGCTGTGACTCTTCTGAAGCTAGGATATTGGACTTCATAAGCAGTTTCTTTCTTTCTCTGATAGATGCTGATAGACGTATGGAAAGAACCACAGCATTCAGGCCCTGGGGTCTGACACACATGCATTCTATTCCTGGGTATGCCACTCAAAGGCACGTGATTTGGATGATTTATTTAACCTTTGAAAGACCAAGCTAATCTCGCTGTCGTATGGATATAAGAACAGCACTATTTCATCCTGGCCAGTGTGGATCAGTGGTTGGAGCATCCGCCATGCACCAAAGGGTTTCAGGTCAAGGGGACATACCTGAGTTACAAGCTTGATTCCCCAGCCCCAGTTGGGGGTGTGTGTAGGAAGCAACCAATCAATGTGTCTCTCTCACATTGATGTCTCTCTCTCTCCCCCCCCCCCCCCCACTCCGTCCCTTCCTGCCACTTGTCTAAAAATTAATGGGGAAAAAAAAATCCTAGGGTGATGATTAACAACAACAACAAAAATAGCATTATTTCAAAGGAGGGTTGTAAAGAGTCGAGATAATGCATATAAAGTACTTAGCACACAGCTGACCAGAAAGTTCACATCATTTTTCAGTCATACCGAGAGCTGGTACTTTGCCCTGAGTATTGCTCCATACGAGCATCCCAAATGTCTCCTTCCTTTACTTATGCTCTTGCATCTCATGATGAAGGCACAGGCGTGCGTGCACACTCACCCCTTCTTTAGGTCATGCTTCACCCCAAGAAAATTTACTCACACTGTTCACCACATGTCTTTCTCGCAGAACAAACATGAATCTCCTGGTCCTCCTACAGCTCCTGCCCTCCGCAGGCCCCTCAAAGCCTCAGTCAGACTCACCCCGGTTGCAGCGGGGCAGCTCCGGCTCCCATCTGTGCTGGGCCTGGCATTGCACACTGGAGGACCCTTCCATGACAAAGCCAGGCTGACACCTGAACCTCACGATTTCATTTAAGGAGTACAAGCTTCTGTTCTCAGACACCCTTATTCCATTTCCAAGGTCCGGAAGCATGCATTTATTAGGTGGAATGCACTGAGGGGGAGGGCTGCTCCAGACGCCACCTTTATCTTTGCTGGTGCAATGTATTTGTGCCTCGCCCACGAGGTCATACAGCTTTTCCCCTCTCTTTCCAGGTTTGCAGCGATACGTCACCACCATTCCATATGAAAAATATTCTCTGCCGGAGCTATAGAAGTCTCCATTGGAGATGGCTGGGGGTGGCTGACAAAAAATATCTGGAAAAGGGACAGCAAGTTAAACGAAATGTCAATTTCTTAATGTTATATTTAGTTATTAATTTTGGTAACTGGTTTAAATAAAAACACCCAAATTACCAAATTTGAACATTCGCAACACTTCTGCTCTTGTCTAATCTTTTCTAATGTCCAGACATGTTAGTGCACAACTGCAGATTCAGTAATCACTCTATGCTGGCTTCTGCCCTTCTTAATTCACATTATTGCAATAACTATGTCCGTATATTATTATACTCCACTTGCTTCTCATTTTAAGTGAGAATTTTTATGTTATTTCATTATTCTTAATTCATTTCTTTCTCTAAGAAGACATTTGGCTTTATTCTCTTGGTTAGTAATATGATGTAGCATATATATACCATCTTTATCAAATAAATAAAAACAAAAAATCTGGCACAGCTAGTAAAAGAGAGATAAAGCACAAGTATACAATACTACACATGACACAATAATCACAGATTCAGAAGTAATAAAATAACTGAATATATGTTCTAATCTATGCTAATAATTTGGAAAATGTGAATATTAGGGATACATGTATTTTGCCGATACTGATTCAAGAAAAGGTAGAATATAGAAGAAGTAAAAAAAAAAAGTATCAAAATGCTACTTCTAAAAAGATAGAAAGAAAACAAAGATAATTTCATAGGCAATTTTAATCTAATATCTAAGTATCGGATAACTCCTCAGCATTTTAAAGTGTTCCAGAGCACATCAAATATTTTAATCATTTTTGATAGGTAGGCCTTAAAGTAGGAACATACTTATTTATTATTTCTACTTTTAAGAAAATATTTAAGAAAATGCATATTTCTTGCAGAAAATTTATAAAATATAAAAATATCTTTAAGTTCATTATTTAGAAAGAATCACTCTTAACTGCTTAATGTGTCATTTTTAATATACACACACACCATATTTTTTCTAAAATACCTTTCTTGGTTTGATAATATTTCAGTGTAAGAGTGTACTATCCAGTTCCATTTGAAAGAGTTGTATCTCTTGGCTAATGCATTCTGGCATATTTTAAACTTTTTATTTTTCTTACAGAACATGGGCCTTGTTCCTTTTATTTTTATATATATATATATTTAGTGGTAAATGATATGCACATGCAAAGTACTAATGTATTAAGTGCTTTAAAAAAGATAAAAAAATTTTAAAGCACAAAATAAAACTAAATATAATCAAAAAATATATTTTCTTCCTGATTTCCAAAGGATTATCTCACACCTGCTTGGAGACCCTTATTTCTGAAATGTTGTTTGAAATATGCTCAACATTTACATTGTTTTGGCTTTCTCGATATAACAAACAATAGTGTAGGTAAATATTTGTATAGCAATATCCTTGCAAAAAGTCTGGTAATTTTTTTTAGGAATAAATCATAAAATGTCAAATTTCTCCATTAAAGACGTGTATATACAGTTAAGGATTTTGATACCTATTGTATACTGGCTTTTAAAAAGTTTGTTCCCACTTTCCTTCCAGCAGTTGGGTTTATTTTATTTTCTTATTTTTAATCTTTATTGTTGGAAGTATTACAGATGTTCCCCCCATTTCCCCATTGACCTCCTCCTCCCTGCTTCTGCCCCTGCCTCCCTTCACCATACTATTGTCTGTGTCCGCTGGTTATGCATATGTGCACATCAGAAGAGAGTGTTGATTTCTTCACATTATCACCAAACCCAGGGGTATATCCTCTTTACATTCTTTGTTAATTTGTGATTTACCATTCTTCTTCCTACTCAAAGTGTAGGAGTTCATATTCCAAACAACTCACAGGAAGTTGGCGTGTCACTGTTCAGGCAAAGAATAGGAAGAAAGGGAGAGAGCCACTGCTTCAATATTTGACCTGATGTTGAGTGGGCAGGATGGGCGGGAAGAAATTAACCAACGAATGTATATGTATATATGCATAACCCATGGACACAGACAACAGTGCAGTGAAAGCCTGGGGGGGGGGATGGAGGGGTCAATGGGGGTTAAAGGGGGGACATCTGTAATACTTTCAACAATAAAGATATATATATGTATATGTGTGATATGTGTGTGTGTACACACACACACACACACACATTGAAAGCATGGACAGAAAGGAAGTTGAGCTACTTCACTAACTTTGTATTTTTTTTACCTCATTGAAGAGAGCAATCTTCAAACTAGGAAGTTTTTGAGGAATAAAGAGGAAGTTGGGGGTGCAGTTATAAATAAATTATACCCCAAGATAAGGACAAACCAGGAGGAACTAGAAACTTGGAACATTGTGAGCACTTTTCAGAATATGACTCTTTTTGTCCACATATTGGAAGGATATCATTGTCAAGAAGGTTAAGACTGATTCTTGGTAACTCTAGGGGTACAATGGGAGGATTAACTGGTGGGATAAATAGGAAGAGATTTTAACTCACGTTCACAGAGTGGTGCCTCTATATCCCAAATGGCAGTATTGTGTAAGATGATACATTTGGCAGATGAGTGACCAATGAGTCGATATCTAAAGGCAAAAAGTGAAAATTATTCTATCAACTTCCCATTAATGTCCTCAGAGCAGACACATGTGGCAGATTTGACAACGACAGTCTGGGAGAAGTCTAAGGACTAGCCTAAACTCCACCTGTTTTATCCGAGTTTTCTTATGTCTCTTTTCCTATCCTCTAACTATTGAAAGGGGTATCTCATCTTCAATTCCTCATGGCGATACTCTGCTTCTTAAATTTTGGCTTCATTGTGGATTGTATCAGGTACCAAAATGAAACAATCCTCTTGTAGACCTGTTTGATCATTTCTTTCTTAAATTCTCTTTCTTTCTTATCTTTTTATTGCCATTTTAAAATTTGTTTGCATTTTCCTGAGATATATATATATATATATATATTTATTTTAACTGCTATGTCATTTTCATGTAGGCATAGTTCTTGTAAATACCATGATATTTGATGCTTTTAATCCTACTTAGAAGTCTTTGTCTTTCAACAGAAAGAAGAAATCATTCAGATTTACTGAATTAAATGGTAGGGTTGGTCTTGCTTTTGTCATAATTCAGACTGCCTGTTTCATAGTGTCCAATGATAAGGAGGCAGCAACAAAAAAACTCATCTGCCTGGAATGGAACAGGCTTGTTTCTGGCGGAAGAGACCGATACATTTCTTCCTACTCCTTTTTCCTCCTTATTTTCTCTATGAACCAGAAAGGTGCACCTCTTTTAGGTATTCTAATAATTTGGAAGTTGAAATTTCATTTCATGTGTGTGTGTATTTATATTATATATATAATACATATTATATATATTTTATACACACAATACATACCTACTTTTTCCATTTTAATGTCAAAATATGTGTAGTTTATCCATTCCCTATGTAATATAAGTCTAGCCTTCTTGTCTTGTTTTCTCCAATTTTCTAGTTTTATGAATACATTTTATGACTTTAGAGATTGCTATTAAATTATTACTGTTGTTATTAAATCATTATTAAATTACTATTACATTACGAAGTTTCACTTTTGAGCACTTAGTTCTGTCACTGTATTTAATTTCATAACTTTGTTGAAAATATTTGATCATGCTTTTTAAAATTTTTGTTTTGTTTTGTTTTTACAAATTTTCTACATCACTGATATTACTTTTGTATTTCAGCATTTTCCCTTTTTAAAAAATTACTTCTGGATTGCCTGGATTTATTTTTTTCTCTTTCCAGAATGTATATTTAAATAGTGTAAATATTTCCTTCAATATATATTTGGAGCCCCTAGATATGAATACTAGCTTGGCTCATTAGAAACACTATCTTCTGCAATTTAGTGACATTATTATGTCAATATGCATCTATTTCTTTTGCAGGTTTTATAGTTAATTAATTTCCTTTCTGAATTCTTGAAGTTTTTTTAAATTTTTTCTTCTCATTATTTTTAAAATAAATTCATTGGGGTGATGTTGGTTAGTAAAATTATATAGGTTTCAAGTGTACAATTTCATAATACATTATCTGTGATATTGGTTAATAAAATGATATAGGTTTCAAGTGCACAATTCTATAATACATCATCTGAATATTGCATTGTGTATTTGCCGCTCACAGTCAAATCTCTGTTCCTGAAATACAGATGCTTTCCTAGTAATGTCTAGGTATGGCTTATCATTTTTCTGTTTTGCATTTTAGCTATCTTTTTCTTTATTCTTTCCACTGAATTCTGTGAGAATTAGACTTTTTTTCTTACTTTCTGCTTCAATTTTCTACATAATTCAGTGTATTTATCGGATCTTTTTTAGTTTGATAACTGTGCTTTCCATTCATGAGCAAACGTTTCCAATTTCCAACTAGGCTTACAGAAGCAGTGTCCAACTGAATCTTGTTGAAAATATAAATAGAATATTCATTTATACTTCCCTATGTCTTGGAAGTAACTGTTTTATAAGGGGAATTTTTTTCTGCTTTTTCAGATTGGTCTCTTTTACACTGTTTCCTGTGACTTATAATAAGCTCAATGGTTTGCTCTTTCATACCATAAACAGGTTCACCTTTATTCAGTAATGCAGGATGAAAAAGGTACAGTGAGAAAATGTAGAGATTGTACTTTAGAAAGCTCAGAGAAGGAGAGAAGTATTTAGATGTACTCTAATTTTACTTTGTCAGATTATAGGTACATGAGGCCTCAGGTGGCAAATACATATGCCAGAGACCAAGAGTGGCTTTTCAGAGCTCAACGTGGCTCGAGGTCAGCCCAGGTTCTCCGATGGGCTCAGCTGCTCACACGGAGAGTCCACTCTAAGCTGAGCAAGGGTAAGCACCAGGGGCAGGACCACTGCCCAGTAAACCCTTTATGACTGACATTTTCACAGGGGGCTGTTATAGGGCTGAATACTGTTCCTCAGAAGGTATGTTGAAGTCCCCATGAATGTGAACTTATTTGCAGATAGAGTCTTTGCAGATGTAATCAAGTCAAGATGAGGTCATTAGGGTGGCCCTAATCCAGTATGATTGATATCCTTATAAAAAGAGAGAACTTTGGACTAGAACCATTCAGAGAGGAGAAATGCTCAGTGGAGACAGACACACAGGGAAGACAGCCACGAGAAGACTGAGGCCGAAATGGGAGTGATGCTACCATGTGCCAAGGAGGGCCTGAGGCTACCAGGAGCTGTAAGGAGAGATCCTCCCTCAGGGTCTTTGGAGGGAGCAGGTCCTGCTAATACCATAATTTTGGCCTTCCAGCCTCCAACACTGTCTGAGACTACGGTTCTGTTGTTCTAAGCCACCCAGTTTGTTGTACTTTGCTATGGAAGCCCCAGCAAACTAATGATGCAACTGCCTGTAAGACATGTGTTCTCACACAACTGCTCCACGGCCTTCCCTTTGTTCCAGCGATGTCCCATCTGAGCGAGGGCTGTTTACATGGTTTGGCTATGCCCTCCCCTCATTTTCTGCTTTTCTACCTGGTGAGAACCTCCCTTCTCTTGTATGCACTGCCCCGCTTTCCAGCAAGATTGCAGACTTCCCCCAGAATCTTATGAAACCTTTGTTCATTTCGATCAGGTTTTGAACACCTGTATCCAGGCCTTTAAAAAGCAGATGGTAGAAGTCTAGTTCTCCTTTCCAAGTGACTAGAAGGTAGTATTGCTATTCTGCCAAATCTTGAACCAAGAGATGTTATTGCCAACTTACCCTATGTTACAAGAATAATTAATTCTGGATCCAAACTCAGTGTCTGTGTCTATGAGCACCATGCCATTCTTAGGATCTGCAGGAGGTGTACACTTTTTACCTGAGGGAAAGAGACAGACTTTTGGAGCCAGGTAGGGGAATCTGAACTTGTGCAATACATGAGGTCCAAACCTGACAGTAGCTTACTAAAGAGTACATGCAATTCTGATGGTTCCAGAGATTTTTGCTCACCAGACTGCCTCAAGATCAGCCACCTACTAAGCACCACTTTAAAAAAATAAAATAAATCTCCCATCCAAATCTGTCTTATCTCTATCTCAAATTTCTCATCAAAATATGAAGGTTAATTATGGCCTTATATCCTACCAGTATAAGTTTCTCCTTCCTACCTGGTTATTCAAATAGTTTATGTCCCCATACATTTCTGGCCCCCCCCCCCCCCCCGGTCTTCAGTAAGGAATGTTTTTTTCTTTCCTCTTCTCTCTTTTTTTTCCTACAAATATTCTTGAAACATTCTCATGAAATAAACATTTCAACTAATAATTAGGGATGACCTATAACACCAATTCTTATATTCACTTATCTGGATACTTTTGAGAAACCAAGTTTTCTCATCTCTAAAATTTAAAAAAATTAAACAAGAGTCTCTGAATAATTTGGCAGACATGGGAAGCTCCAATTCAGGGTGACTTACGTTTACAGACAGTCTTGACATCTGACCACTCCAGGTTGTCTTGACACCTGATAGAGAATGAGGTCCTGTAGTACTCAGGACGGCATTCATACGTTAAAGATGTCCCAACAGGAAACTCAGATTCATTGGCTTGGATTTTCAACTTAGCATACTGAAAATGATCTGGAGCCTTACAGTAACCTAGAAACCAACAGCATCAGATTTAACATAAAGAGACCCAATGCCCGTTCTCTCTCTCTCTCTCTCTCTCTCTCGTTAGATTTGATGCCAGAACAAAAGAAACTTTTAGTTTTGGAAAAATAATTTCCTTGTAACCTTGGGAGGGAAAGTTCCATTAGCACATGTCCGTTAGAAAATGCACTGTCTGGAAGGGTGTTCTGCTCTCTGGTCATTTTGCTCATATAATTAACTGTAAAAGACAACTTCGGTTCAATTTTTCACACTTTTAGCGAGCCAGAAATGTTCTCCTGCCCGGGTTCCACCATTCCTGTCTGATTTCCTTGTACTTCAGTGAATCAAAACCCCAGTGGAGGGCTCCCAGCATGACTGGAGAACTAAGGGTAATTCTTGACCCTAGGACAGAACTACCAATTTTGTAGGTCTGATTCCTAAGCAAGCCACTCAACACAAGGAAAAAACAAATAGCATCTCTTTAAAATAAAACAAACAAAACTACAGTTATTATTATGAGAAGACATTATCTGAAGTGTATAGTGAATCAAGTTCTAACTTGAGCTCCTTGCCCCTATGGCCTATTAGCTTTAGGCTCACTTTGGATTCAAATAATGTGAATCCAAAATAGTACATATGCTTGGAAAAATAGAAATCATCTCCGCTTGGCTTTGACAACACCTTCTCTTTTAGCTCCGCTTTCAGCTTCCCTCCCCCTCCCTTCCAATGATACATTTATTCAAACAGTGATGCTCATACAGCCGCCAATTCTGCAACCAGAGAATTTCTGTGGGAAGATTTCCAAAGAATTTCTAATCTCTTGAAGATAATTCAATAACTTTCCTTAATATAAAAATATGGCTTATTTTTTTCAGGATTTTTATGTGAAATTTATCCATCTCGATTGCCTGCTTTCTTTTACCTTAGAGCTTCAATATTAGCTCTACTAGCTTCCAGTTCAAAGAGTTTCCATCATGATTGAAATTTACCACTAAGGTCTAATCCCACATGAAAACAGCCTGGCTGGTCTCTACTCTAAAAATCTAGCTGATAAATCTAGAGTTGCCACCTCAGATAGGGTTCTGATGGAAAAAACAAACAAACATAAGATGGTCTCTTACTATTGATTCAGTAAATGTGGACTAGGTCTCTACACTTGTAAGCAAACTCATAAGTGTACCCCACATTGAAGCCATGGTGATGGAGGGGGAGAGTTAGGGCAAAAATGACTCTGGGTGACTAGCACTTGGTCGTTTTCCTTTTAGAAGAGTTCTCTTCTCTCAGAGTTTCCCAGTGGTCAGTATTTACATATGTCAGGACTAGGGTTCCTTCTACAATTTACTTTCTCCTCCCCATCTTCACTTCCCGAAGGTGGATGTCTCAGGGGGTTGGGTTTCTTAGGAACCCTTCTGCAGACCTTAGAAATACACATACTCTTTATTTTCTATTTTCCTTTGCTTTTTCTCTCCACAAAAGTGAGAAGACTTCAACAACTAAATTACTGGGGGCAAAGGAACAAATAAGCCTCATTTTAAGTTACAGCTTAGCCCACATTGGCTAAAGGAATCTATTTGGTTTGTCTACAATGCAGCTCAAGTTTCACAGAAAATGCTTAGGCTGAATAGGTAATGAAAAGCAATTTTGCCTGGCTTTATTCTCTACTGGTCTGTGCTTCCCTCCAAAACCTGCAGATGGCATAACTTATGTTAGATAAGGTCCAAAGGTATTTGTCTTCAATTTCAATGCTTTGAAAACATTTGCTTTCTAATGCTCTTTAGAATAGCACCCACCACCCACAACCTCCTTCTTTTTTTCACCAACCCGCTAGCAGCAAATGTCATAAGACTTTTATGTGTTGATGTATCTTACAATAATTTATAACCCATTTGGCATTTAATTGTGTCAAGTGTGCAAATAAACATATCTCTGTAATTAGAAGACTTTGGGAGTCCTGTTTTAGAGCCATTTGGGGTGTGGCGTAGTATGTACTAACCTGGGCGTCCACAGCGAGGGGCAGGGCTACTCCAAACCCCGTTCCCTTCACTATCATTTGTGCAGCGGATGGTGCTCTCCCCAAGGAGGCTGAAATTCATCCCTCTGTCTGGGTGGGAGTCACATGTGTAAGTTACTTCTTTTCCAAAAGGAAAGGTATCCAGAGGTTTTCCTGTGTGTCTTCCATTAAGGATCTCTGGAGGATTTGGACATAAGATTCCTGGAAAGAAGGCGAGAAATGTAAGTTTCATTGAGGAGTTTTCCCAAGAGGTGTTCTATAGTCATAGGGTGCTACGGTTGGTGCCACCTGAAAAAACCATGACAGTATGTCTTTGGTGTAGGCGTTTGATGAGATGGGCTAAATAAAATAAGATATTAATCTCATTTTTACGGAAAAAGTACAAAAGGAATTTGCTTATCTTGAATCTTCCAGATAGTTATGTCTTCTGGATAATAAACACTTAACACTCTTAAGTTAATGCCAATACTTTTAAAGAGGAAGAATAACCCCTTGGAGGGTAGCTCATTCAACCACTAAATACATATTACGTGAGCACTTATTCTGTGTCAGTCACTCCTCGAAACCCTGGGATGTAGTGGTGAAGAGCACAGACAAAGTCATTGTCTTCTAAGGAGCTTACATTCTCAAGAAATATTTCTGCAACATATTCCACATGTACTAGTCATCTGAAAGATGAAACTTCCCCTCGGTAACTTATTGATACTGGCCATCAATCTTGATTACGACAGTGTGCTGACACAATGAATTGTAGCATCTATGGTCATTGTAAAATTCTAGGCAATCCAGATTGCTTTCTTTTTCTTTTCTTTTCTTTTTTTTTTTAATATATGGATCTGTTTACGATTTAATTATTTTCTTTCCTTTCTGTCAGGCTTCAAGTTATTACTTCTTTCTAGCACCTGCTTTTCTGTATAAAATAGCCCCCTCTTTACTTCTAATTGGTGTTTCTAACTAGGATTGGGGTTTTGAGAAGCTACTTCAACTGGTCAGCATCCTGAAAAATAAGAGATGGTCCAGTCAATAACTGGGCTCTCATGCATGCCAGTAGGACGGCACTTATGTCTCATCAAGAAATACTGGGTAACAGACATCTACATGTAAGTTATGTTCTCATAAGTTTTACTATGCAAAGCACATTTTGATGTCTGAGTAGGTTTTAACAACATAAACATTGTAGTAAAATTTGATTGTTTAATACATATATATTTCAATCTTTAAGATCAAGAGATGAAGCAAAGTCTTATCTTCTATTGGGAAAAATGGATAGAATAGGAGAATTTGGTATTGATACTACACATAGCTTTTTAAATAAGCTTTTTGTTACATATCAAACTTTTCTAAGGACTCTCCAAATTACTCTTAATCTTTTCTGCTTTTTTAAAAATCCTCACCCAAGGATATGTTTTTATGGATTTGAGAGAAAGAGGAAGGGGGAGAGAGAGAGAGAAAAAAAACAAAAAACCATCAATGTGATAGAGAAACATTGGTGGGTTGCCTCCCGTATGCACCCCGAACAGGAATCAAACCTGCAACCTAGGTATGTGCCCTGACTGGGAATCAAACCAACAACTATTTGGTGTATGGGACAATGCTCCAACTAACTGAGCCACCCGGCCGAGGAAGGAGGCTCATTTTTTTATCGGCTTATTACTTCTGAATCTTTCAACATAATTTATTTAGGTGCATGTTTTGAGAGCTTAAGAAGTCTTAAACTGCTTACCCCAGGTAATGTTGCTCCCAACTCTCCCCTCATTCTTTCATTGCTCTGATCTATTGCTTCCATAACATTTATTAGCTGATTGTTTTTTCTGACCATCTCCCCGGGTATAAATAATACAGGGACAAGGCATTAACTTATCTTGTTCACTGCTATAACACCAGTGCTTAGAAGAACACCAAGCACATAGTATGTGCTCAGTAAATAGTTGTTTGAACGAATGAATAATTCATATTTACATATTAGCAAATAGAAAAACTGTAGAGTGATTGCATCCTGATGGCAGGAAAAAAGAAACAGAAAGAATTAGGGAAGGAAGAAAAGAAGAAGGAAAGAAAGGAAGACATTTGTTAAAGCTTCACACTATTTAATCTCTCCTGACCTAGAGGCAAACTACTGCAGGATAGATTACGTAGAACACCGAATTCGAAATGACAGAGACAGAGCAAATGGTCCCCCAAACACATGGCATAGAGCAACGTGCATCACAACAAATTGATCACAAGTGAATACTATTGAAAAATGCAACTCTCTCTCCATAATTCAGATTAGAAAACAGAAGAACCACCCAGGGGTGGTCATAGGTCAAAACACTAAACAAATTAAGGGAGAGGTTGGCCTAAAGTGTTGTTCCTTCTACTCACGTTCACACACAGGGACACTGCTGTTCCAGAGGCTTTCCTTCCCAACCAAGACACAATGACTAGCAGAGTGGCCTCTTAGTTGGAATCTAAAGAAGAAAATGGTAGTGAGCGGGTGAGCTGTTGCAGTCAAAATGCCATTCAGTCTGCAATCTGAGGCCCTGCCAAAAATCTTAGCATCTGAAACTAACAGGTACAGAAGTCCAGAGGTCACGTCAATCCAGACAAATCACAGCCTCCACTAAGGGAGAACAGCTAGTTGGTCACATACTACATAGTACCAGCCTGAACTGAAGAAGGCAGTCATAGCTTAGCAACCATCTCCTTGATCTCCTACCCAGGCTCTGAGAAGTGAATCTCTAGCTTGTGGGAGACCATTTGCATGACATCCATCTTGTTAAAGTCTGCTCTGCTGTCTCCGGCCCCAGGGCGGGGTCTCTCTGAATACAGTGTCTGCATTCCTCTAGATAATTGTTTACTCCATTCTTTGCTTATTTGTTCCACCTGGGGTATTTACTGGAATTTGCTTCAGGTGGGATACTCATTAACTGTTTCACCTGTTTTTCCCCCTATATATAATGTGAACTCTCCCTGAATAAACGAGACTTGATCAGAATCCTGTCTTGTCTCCATTTCTCATGTCTCTTGTCCCTCCTCATCCTCACTCCCCCTCTAGAGTCCTCGTTGATCGACCTGCGGGCCGTGTCACTAGCTAATCATCCCATGATAAACCTGACAAATCGGCTCGCTGTCATTATGGGGAACCTAGTCTTCTACTGCAACAGCCTCTTAGTTCTGATCCCAGAACAGCACATAAAACAGCTCCCAGTTGGAATGGAACCATCTACGTCACTGATGGGCTGTGAAGAAAGCTCACAGCACGCTGGACTACTGAAGAGTACGTTTGAATACTCGGGGAAAAGGAAGGGAGGTCTGAAACAACGTTTGTATGAAATCATTCAGAATCAAAGTATATGGGACCCTGATGGTTCCTAAGTCTCACTGGTTACTGGCACTGGGTGCCTGTCAGGATTCCTTGAAATGGTCTGAGATCAGGTGCTACTTTGCTCACACTTGATCCTTCCCACACAGAGGTGTACACACTGTGAAGAGCACCAGATTCACCTGAACAATTAATGACCTTACTTAGAACATTCGTCAGCCATGATCCCACTCAGCCCATTAGCCCATTCAGAGCCCTTAGCCCATTACTAACCAGAAGATATATGATTAGATTGAAATGCTTTTCTTATACTTTCACTCTTACTACAAATTTTTCTTTTGATGGTTCAAAAAATGACTGAAATAATTCTTAAATAATCTTAATTCTTTTTTAATAAGCTTTTTGTTACATATCAAACTTTTCTAAGGACTCTCCAAATTACTCTTATTCTTTTCTGCTTGGAAAATCTGATTTTTTTCAATGAATGCATCACATATATTCATAACCAATCATTGTATTTGTCTTTATACCTGCTGTTTTATATATGTCCCAATTTTTCCTTCACATGTCATGTTACTTCTTCCACCTGTTCCTTCATGTTATTTTTCTTACACACTTCCAAACTTAATCCCCCTGAATTAATTTTTTTTAGCCACACCAAACATTTGTCAGCCACCACTATCCCACCAAACCTTCCCTTTTTGAACTAACTTCTAACTCCAATTTCAGTGTCTAGCTGGCAAGGCAAGCTCACACTTACCCCTCATCACAAATGAAGGATGCTTTTGCCCCAAGCTCGAGATTAAATGGATAGAGCACTCGGCCATTAGGAAGTTGGTCCTGGAAGTCACCACAAGATTTCACTGGAGAAAAGGAAAAACAAACAGAGATAACACCGGCACATGCAGAATAAAGCCCCAAGCTAAAAATGTCAAAGCAGACGAGTGTAGGTACCTGCACATCTGGGGGCTGCTGGGCTCCAGTCTCCCCGGGGCGTACAGCGCAGAGAGGCAGCCCCTCTGAGGTCATAGCCGGACTCACAGCTGTAGAGCACTTCCTGCCCGGGGGAAAAGCTGTCCTTATGGCTTAGGGTGTGCTTACCATGCAGGATTTCTGGAGGCGGCTGACAAACTGGAGAAAGAAAACCACGTGCTGTTAATTGTATGAAAATCACTTTTCCTCAGTGGTACATGGCCAACAGAATCGTAACTATCAGTCGATATATACTTTAAAAACCTGGTAGACTAACACTCTCATTTTATTGATGGCAATATGAGAGAGAGAGAGACAGACAGAGAGAAAGAGAAAGAGAGGATGTGGCTTGCTAAACGCCACAGAACATACACTGCAGAAATGTACTAGAATTGTTTTTCGTCGGAAATATTCATCTACGATTACACTGCAGACAGTTCCCTTCTAGAATGATGCCCATTGCTGGTTACCCAGTGTATACTAGTTAAGATTGCAGGATTTTTCATATCTTCATACTGCTTTCTAGTAAAGCATCACCAATTTATAGTCCACCTTTTGGGCAGCCAGGAATGTGTGTGCCCAGATCTCATCTAACAGGTTAGCCAATCACTGAGCACACTGGTACAACTAACAGGATTCACATCTCGTCTCATCCCTGTCCAACCCCTTTTCCAGTGGGTTGGAGAGAATGGAGTCTCTATACTCTACATGGCCAGCGCTGCTTCACCTCTCATTTCATTCCAGTGAGAAGATGGGCAACCGCTGAACAAAACCTTCTAAAAATAAGTACAGCCCCCATAATGAGTGCACATTGCATAGAGCATATTTAACGAGTCTGTGACTGCCTCTTTAAACAGTTGCTTTTAACTCAATCAGAATGCGCTTGAGTCTCAAATAAATCACATTAAACTGTAGTAAAATGAAACATCATTTCCTTTGGACTTAGAGCAGGTCAGTTTCCCTCTCTGGACTTCGGCATCTTCAAGTCTAAAATGTGGTTTTGTCTAGATTAAATGACTTCTTTAAGAACTTTGAAAATACTCTGAGGTTCTAAAGCCCATTTTCGGGGCTCATTGCCCCTCTGCCTCCCTTGACTAATAAATGCACAGTGATAACAAGTGCTGTGTTGATTACATTTCTGTGAACTCCCAGCCTTCCACCTCTAGTTCTCCTGTGACTGCTGGGGCTAGAATCCTGCAACCTACAATTTCTTCTCTTCCTTGCCAGCTGAATTCTGGTTCAACTCTGTCATCTGGTGGAATATATAGAAAATAAAAAGGCAGGAAGATGGTAGAAGCCATTCTTCTTTCGAGCAGGCTCAGGAAGTAGCAGTGTTGATGGTTCTTGCTTAGCAGCAGCAACTTCCTCTCTGGCGACGCTGTGGCTTTGGCTCCAGCGACCTCAGCTGCATCCTGGCTGCAGGGACAGCATGGAGGACAGGCCTGCTCAGGTTTGCTGCTCTCTGGAAACAATCTTTCTCCTTTTGATCTTCCGGCTCTTCCAACATCCTTATATCCTATTGTCCACAGTAACTCCCCCACGCCTTGAAATATCGAAAGTGGTTTTTTATTTCTATGGCTCTGGAGTCAGGCAGATTTGGGTTTCAGTCTTTAGTGTGCAAGTCAGTATCTGTTTAATTTTGGAAGTTATCTAACCTCTCTAAGGATCCTAAGGAAACTTCCCATTCTGTGCCCAGATTTAGCATCTTTTCTCAACTTGACACCACACAGGCATGCACATATGCACACACACACACCCCTACTTACTTTTATGCTTCATTCCAAAAAATTTACCCACACTGCTCACCACACATCTTTCTCGCAGAACAAGCACGAATCTCCTGGTCCTCCTACAGCTCCTGCCCTCCGCAGGCCCCTCAAAGCCTCAGTCAGACTCACCCCGGTTGCAGCGGGGCAGCTCCGGCTCCCATCTGTGCTGGGCCTGGCATCGCACACTGGAGGACCCTTCCATGACAAAGCCAGGCTGACAACTGAACCTCACGATTTCATTTAAGGAGTACAAGCTTCTGTCCTCAGACACCCTTATTCCATTTCCAAGGTCCGGAAGCATGCATTTATTAGGTGGAATGCACTGAGGGGGAGGGCCGCTCCAGACGCCGTCTTCATCTTTGCTGGTGCAATGTATTTGTGCCTCACCCACAAGGTCATAGAGCTTTTCCCCTCTCTTTCCAGGTTTGCAGCGATAGGTCACCACCATTCCATATGAGAAAGAGTCTCTGCCAAAGCTATCGGAGTCTCCATTGGAGATGGCTGGGGGTGGCTGACAAAGGATACCTGGAAAAGGGACAGCAAGTTAAATAACTGAATGGAAATAACCAATGAGAGCAATCCAGTGAGTCACTAAACTGCTACTATTTTTAACTCATTATTTGCTTTTAATCTTTGCTAACATGTAGATTAGGTTTTAGAAAGTTGTGATTTAAATGGATAAAATAAAAGGTGGAATTCCTTTTTTTCTATTTATATTATTTCCTGTAAACACATCCATTTCTTTCTTTTTTTTTTTTTTTTATCCTCACCCGAGGACATTTTTCCATTTGTACAGACAGAGTGGGAGGGAGAGAGAGGAAGAGAGAGAGAGGGAAACATCGATGTGAAAGGGACACATCGAGTGGCTGCCACCCGCATGACCAACCAGGGTCGGGGACAAACTGCAACCGAGGTACGTGCCCTTAGCGGGAACCGAACCCGGGTCTCTCCAGACCGCAGGTGGACGCTCCAACCGCTGAGCCAAACCGGCCAGGGCAACACATCCATTTCTTAATACAATTCACATTCTTTTATTATATTATACCATAGTTTACACAGTTTCCCCCTATTCTTTTTCAATTGCCTCCGTAATTTTCATTTTGTTATAAGTGAAACCAGTATAGCTTTTTAAAGAAATAAGATCAAAAGACCCTCATTTAAAAAAGAAAAAAAGTAGAATGAAAGAGAAACAATGCAGATATATAGCAGTAGAAAATAGAATTCAAATATATTTGCATATAGTTAATAATATTTATGAAACTGTAGACCACTGTAGGTTAAACATTTTATTTTTAATTTATTAAACTTTTTTTTTCTTTATTGATATTTAGAGAGAGAGGAAGGGAGGGGGAGAGAAAGATGGAAACATCAATGAGAGAGAACATCAGTTGGTTGCCTCCTGCATGCCCCTCACTGGGGTCTGGGCCCACAACCTGGGCTCTTGGTGCATGGGTCGACACTCAACCACTGAGCCACACCGGCTGGGCTATGTTTACCATTTTAAAAAGCTAAATGATATAAACGAAAACAGAAATGAAACTTTTAAGAAGACAGAGAAAGCTACAAAGGAAGGGGGGGGGGAAGGAGGCAGGGAAAGGGGAAGAGAGGAAAATAAAAGTTATAATTATCTAGTCATTTTGTACAGCGTCACCCAGGCTCACTGAACTGAGTTTCCCAGACTTACTTTGCCTGTATGGCTCTAGGTTAGGGAAGGAGCTAGAGACATTGGCCTGGAATTTGAGAGGCAGAAGTGAAGCAAAGGCCATTCTTCTCTGAAGGTCATTCTCGGTTGGAGGTGATGAGGGGACAGATGCAAAGAGCCAGGGGTCCAGTTAGTTCTTGCTCTCCCAATTTTTGCAACCAGTTCTCTGAAAATGCTGGTCCCACTCCCCTACACTGATTCCCGCCCGTGTCAGAAGCATCGGGTTAACTTGAAGTCGTGAGAGCCAAACATCCTCTGGCAGCTCTCTACACCAGCCTCCACAGCCCGACTCCAGCCTCACAGCCCGACTCCGGCCTCCACAGCCCGACTCCGGCCTCCACAGCCCGACTCCGGCCTCCACAGCCAGACACCAGCCTTCACAGCCCGACTCCGGCCTCACAGCACGACTCCGGCCTCACAGCCCGACTCCGGCCTCCACAGCCCGACTCCGGCCTCCACAGCCCGACTCCGGCCTCACAGCCCGACTCCGGCCTCCACAGCCCGACTCCGGCCTCCACAGCCCGACACCGGCCTCCACAGCCCGACTCCGGCCTCACAGCCCGACTCCGGCCTCACAGCCCGACTCCGGCCTCCACAGCCCGACACCGGCCTCCACAGCCCGACACCGGCCTCCACAGCCCGACTCCGGCCTCCACAGCCCGACTCCGGCCTCCACAGCCCGACTCCGGCCTCCACAGCCCGACTCCGGCCTCACAGCCCGACTCCGGCCTCCACAGCCCGACTCCGGCCTCCACAGCCGGACTCCGGCCTCCACAGCCGGACTCCGGCCTCCACAGCCCGACACCGGCCTCACAGCCCGACTCCGGCCTCCACAGCCCGACTCCGGCCTCCACAGCCCGACTCCGGCCTCCACAGCCCGACTCCGGCCTCCACAGCCCGACTCCGGTCTCCACAGCCCGACTCCGGCCTCCACAGCCCGACTCCAGCAGCCAGGCACAGTTTGCTCCTGGAAGCTCAGACTGCAAGGCGCCTGATTAGTGATGTTTCTCATCTTTTTAGAGCAGCTCCTCACACAATAAAGTCTACGTTTATAACACATCTCATATTTCACAATACTGATAGTAGCTCTGCTTTCACAGTTGGACCAATATGTATCCCAGGGTAACAGAGGAATCTGGAACTGGTTCTTTAATAAGATCGTATTTAAGAATTAATGTTAATACTGCCCATGGAAAAGGGCACACTAATGGTTGATGGCATGCAGGGATTAAAGATTCCCTAGTTACCACCCACAGCCGTCTGTAAGCATAGGAGCAAGACCTTGAGTGACTACGTGGTTGCTATCCTAGAATATTTTAGGGAAGGAATGTAACGGGATTGGTTGCTGGTTTTTAAGTGCACCAGAGAACTTGAGAGAAGGAAAGTGGTGAGTTTGAAGCTTTAAATTCCTACTCAAGGTCTGGATATGAAAGCTTCTATATCTGCCCTGAAAGAACACTTGTATCCTTGTAGCCACAGGGCCAAGATTTCTGAAAAAATAAATCCAACAACTAATCCTGTGGCTGAGTTCTAATGCAAATTAAATTAATCATTTCACAGGGTCTCTACGCTAAAGTTGGAGCGCTGCTTGGAAGAGGATTCTGCAAACTGAGATGGAGATATCTGGACAGATACCTTGAACGTGGAGATTCTGCTAGCTGTCCTTTGCCAGGAGAAGCAGCCTTCTGCTGCCTGTCTGAGGAGGTATGCCTCCCTTTGACTGAAGGAACTCTATTGGGCCCTCCTGAGGTAGCTGCCCTGATAGGGTTGCCAGAAAATATATAGGTAGTCCAGGTATATTTAAATTTCAGAAAAATAATGACAAATTTCTAAGTATAAGTATATCTCAGAAATGCATGGCACATAACTATACTGCAAAAATACTTGTTGTTTTTCTGAAATTCAAATTTAACTGGATATAGTGTATTTAAAAATTTTTTTTCTTTATTGATTTTAGAGAGAGGGAGAGAGAGAGAGAGAAACATTGATGAGAGAGAGCATTGACTGGCCACCTCCTGCATGCCCCTCACTGGGGATCGGGCCCACATACTGGGCATGTGTCCTGACCAGGAATAGAACCGGCGACCTCTTGGTACGTGGGTCGACACTCAGCCACTGAGCCACACTGGCTGGACAATATAGTGTATTTTAATTTACTAAATCTGGCAACTCAAATAGTAACAACTGATGATTTCCTCAGGACCTACTCCTACCATCTCCCATTGTTTCTAGTGCTCTGACCAGATTCAGGTCCTGGCAGGATGGGGGTGGAGTGGGAGGAATAAAAATTATGACTTGTGGGAGGCACAGATGCACCAAAAGAAGTGAGATTCTGAGTTCAATGTGTTAATTTGAGTGTGGACTATGCTGAATGAAGTTGAAAGTCCAGAACTTTACTAACATACCTCAGAGAAAGAAATCCTATTAATATAGGAGAGAGGCATGAAAACTATACAAATTAACTGAAGTCAGAGTTAAGTCAGGGGCCTGCTACATGCTACCTGACATGGAACTCTGCTGACCAGAGGTTTAAGCAGACCACGAGGTGCCCCCGGAACAAAGAAAATTAATGCAAAGATCGGTTAACAGCTGCTCACCCATACCTTATTATTTCCTCATACCACATAAGGAAAACAGACCACAAAATAGACCTTGTATAGCCAAGGGCAGCTGAGGCTGTGGCACCAGCTAGACCATCAACTTACACCCTACACAAGAATAAATTCAAAATGGATAAAAGACTTAAATGTGACTCATGAGTCCATAAAAATCCTAGAAGAAACTGTAGGCAACAAAATTTCAGACATCATACGCAGTAGAATTTTCACTGACACATCACCTAAGGCAATAGAAACAAAGGAGAACATGAACACATGGGACTACATCAAACTCAAAAGCTTCTGCACAGCGAAAGATACAATCATCAAAACGGAAAGGCTACCCACTGTATGGGAGAGCATAATTGCCAATGATATATCAGATAAGGGATCAATTTCCAATACATATAGAGTGCTCATACAACTCCACAAAAGGAAGACAAAGAACCCAATTAAAAAATGGGCAGAGGAACTAAATAGATACCTCTCCAAACAGGGCATACAAATGGCTAAGAGACATATGAAGAAATGCATCACTAATTATCAGAGAGATGCAAATTAAAACAACAATGAGGTATCACCTCACACCTGTCAGAATGGCCGCCATCAACAAATCATCAAACAACAAGTGTTAGCGAGGGTGTGGAGAAAAGGGGACTCTAGTGCACTGCTGGTGGGAATGCAGACTGGTGCAGCCACTATGGAAAACAATATGGTGTCACCTCAAAAATTAAAAATTGAACTTCCATTTGACCCAGTGATCCCACTTCTAGGAATATACCCTAAGAAGCCTGAAACACCAATCAGAAAGAATATATGTACCCCTATGTTTATAGCAGCACTATTTACAATAGCTAAGATCTGAAAACAGCCCAAGTGTCCATCAGTAGACGAATGGCTAAAAAAGCAGTGGTACATATACACAATGGAGTACTATGCAGCTGTAAGAAAGAACGATCTCTTATCCTTTGAGACTACATGGAGGGACCTGGAAAGTATCATCCTAAGTTAAACAAGCCAAACAGAGAAAGACAAGTTTCTTTCTTAAAGGATTTTTTTTTTTTTATCCTCACCCGAGGACATTTTCCCATTTTTTGTTCAGATAGAGCGGGAGGGAGAGAGAGGAAGAGAAAGAGAGAGAAACATCGATGTGAAGGGACACATCGAGTGGCTGCCACCCGCACGGCCAACCAGGGTCGGGGACAAACTGCAACCAAGGTACGTGCCCTTAGCGGGAACCGAACCTGGGTCTCTCTGTACTGCAGGCCAATGCTCCAACCGCTGAGCCAAACCGGCCACGGCGAGAAAGAAAGTTTCATATGACCTCACTTATTTGTGGAATATAATGAACATAACAGTCTGAGGAATGGGGTAGTCCCAGAGACGTGGAAGTGGGGTATAGACTGACAATCCCCAGAAGAGGAGGTGGTGGGGGAGAGATAAACCACAGAACTTATATGCATGTATGCATGAACAGTGGACATGGACAACAAACTGGGGACAGGGCAGGGAGGGAGGGAGAGGGGGGAATCAGTGGGGGAAAAAGGAGAAACATCTGTAACAAAAATTAATTAATAAAAAAAACAGACCTTGTAAAGGTCTGAGTTAATCCCAACCTTTTCCACTCTCTATTTCCCCATACCAACAATTTTCTAAAGAAACTACAAACAGATGTAAGCTCAACCTCTAGAGATGGTGGGGGTCTCTCTTCCTTCTCTTGTGAGAAGAGTCCCTACTCTGGTTTTTCCTGCTTGTCCTATCTGCTCAATAAAACCTTTTTTTTCCCACTTTAACCTCCAGTCTGTCTGGTTAGTGTCTTGAATTCCTTCCTGGGTGAAGCCAAGGAAACTCTTGGCTCAGGACTCGAGTTCCCAGCACGGACTCGCCCCTCTGGCATCACTTTGGCCTAAGGAACCGAGAATGCTCGAGCGGATTCGTTTTGTAAGCCTTGTTCACATGCTCCATAACTAAGTCCATGGGTGGGGGTGAGGGGTTGAAAGACAGCTCATTTACCCAAGGCTTTGAGGCATACATTTGTACAGGAGTTTCCGCGTCTTTGAAGAAGTCTGTGGTGGCTATTCCATGTAGGACAGAATGACAGTGGGGACTGTTGCTACTGAAGCGTTTTCCCCGAATTCAAGAGGGGTCAAAGGACCCCAGAATGGCAGAAGCCAAGTGGCAGCACTTAATCTCCAGAGACAATGGAAACAGAAATCAGAATGGTTTATCTGTAGAGATCTTTGTCATCATTAATTGATCATGGAGTTGCAGAAAGTGAAGTAGATGAGTAGTGGGTGAAAGTATTAGTCGGCTTGTACAAGCAGAAAAGATCTAGGTCTGGTGACCGGAAGTGTGACTTGGAACACGGTAAAAGAGAGTCTGGTTATTCATCAGCCAACACCCAGACTCGAGAACCAGTTTTCAGACACAGGAGCTAGAAGGTGGGAGACTGGATCTTCTTGAGGGAACACCCTGCTACACAGCCAAAAGGAATAAGTAACTTCCCCCTCTAGCCTTCACCAAGGAGGCTTAAAACCATTTACTTGGGTTTAGATATAAAAAAGTTTACAGAATTAGAGATAGAAATGAAAATATATAAATAGGCATAGATAGATTACCTTTTAATAAAATGAGATCTTGCCGTACAAACCTTTTTGTCATCTGATTTTTTTCACATAAAATGTATATAATAAACATCTTTATATGTCATTAAGTGCTTCTCCATGCTGTTTTTCTTTTATGGCTGAATAAAATGCCAGTGTATAGACATATTTCTGCTAATTCTGCATGGCTATTTTATGTTCCTTAGGAAATTTTATATGGTCATTTTTATCATGTTTCTTTCCTTCCAGTAGATTATTTCTAAGCCATATTTTGAAACATGTAGTGCTTTTAGGTTACTGTAACAATTTCACTATTATAAAGAATGCAGCACTGAAAAGTTTACAGAGAACTCCTTGCAAAAATCTGTGTTTATTTCCTAAGTATAAATTCTGAGAAGTGGGTCAAAATGTATGTGTATTTTTGAGGCTTATTAATACACGGAGCCTTTCAAGAGGGTTTGGTGAACCCTCAGTACATTAGAGTGTTGATTCCTCCACAGCTTCACAAACCTTCGAGAGAGCATCACTTAATAAATCTTTATTTCTTTGCCAAGCAGAATGATTATTATACTGGGGACGGCACATCATTGCAAATCAACTGAAGTAAAAATAAATTTTAGAGGCTTTTATGCAGTTAAGCCCTCAGATTCAGAAAAGGCACATCCCAAGATAAGGAAGAACTTAATGAAACAGTTACCAGGAAACCCACAAGTAGTTTAAGGACAATAAAGCTGTCTTCAACTATCTGAAGGACAGAATGCACAAAAGGAATTCAATTCAGGTTTTTATAAATCCAGGTGGAAACTTAGAATCTATTGGTAAAGATGGTAGAAAAGATTATTTCAACTCACTCTGACAAACAGGTACTTTATTATCCCAGGTGACAGTGTCGTCCTTGATGATGCATGTAATAGTGGATTCACCATCGAGTCGGTATCTAGAGGCAAAGAATAATGAATGTTATATTCTAAATACACAGGTAATATCCCTGCTTAGATTGTTATTTATACCAAATCACAATCTCAAAGAATTCAGAAGGACAATTTCCATTTGTCAAACTATCAATTTTCCAAATTTTATGCCTGTCTTTGGACTTTTCTTTTTTTAACACTTTTTCTTTATTGATTTTAGAGAGAGAGAGGAAGAGAGAAAGAGAGAGATGAGAACATCAATGAAAGAGAACATCAGTTGGCTGCCTGCTGCACACTCTGGACTGGGAATTGGGCCCACAACCTGGGCATGTGCCCTGACCAGGAATTGAACCAGCAGCCTCTTGGTGCATGGTCGATGTCCAACCACTGAGCCACACTAGCTGGGCTATATTTAGACTTCTAAATTTTCTTCTGTATACCTTCTAAACTGGATGGGATCTCTTTTCTTTATTACCTTAAGACACATTTTTATGCAAATCTAAGGTAAATAAGATTAATCAAAGTAGAACCAAAGGAAATCCCAACAGAACAAAAAGAGTTGAACATTGATCTAATATTTTAACTGTTAAAGGCAGAAGTTCTCAATTAATATGCCCCAAGCTGTTCAGAGTGTGCCATAAATTTTGAAAAAAATTAATGACATTTGTATTTACTTCAACAGAGACTGAATAATGTTGGAATTCTGGGCTGAACCATTCGTGTTCATTGGTATAGAGTAAGGTCAAACTTGATACTACTACAAATCGAGACAAATAATATCAAATAATAGTCAAGTGTTATTTGGTATAGCTAGAACATTGCCATATATATATAAATGGCAGCACAGACTATTCAAACAACAAAATGGGCCAATCAAAGATCAAATGAAAAGTGTGACAGCAATGGATGTTGTTTAGGTTAGTGGGTAGATTCAGGCCTCCTTTTTGGGACTTAGCTCCAATGACAACTCAGTCTTCTGAGCTGATAACGCCATTCTGGTCTGCTTCATTCTTCTGTCTCCACGTAAGTTCTCAATGTATCCCTGCCGAAGTTGCCTATGAGAGTGAAGGTGCTTTGCTGGGCTAACTGATGTCACCAGACGGGGAATGGGGGATATTCAACTCTTGGGATGAAGAATAAACTCCCTGGCCTGCTCTCTGGCTTCCTGATGAGGTGAGCATCCCACTTCATATGTGTTGCTTTGAACAGGGGAAGGAGACATTTATCTAGACTGTCTTTAGCTGCTTGGTGGAGGACAAGGAGACTTGGGTCTGGGAGGATTTTCCCACTGGTTGGAGGACCAAGTGACCCTGAGCTTGGTTCGCCTTCTGATCCTGAGTCGGTGGCTCACTGCCGTGGGTGTAGGGTCAGAGATACTGGCTCTGGGCTGCTTTCTGCTGTGGTGAGGGGGACACTGGGCTTTCTGGCATTCCTGCTGTGAGAAGAGAGGCCCTCTTGCTGCTGTCCTGAAGACTAGGTCTAATTATTTGGGCTCTGCTAATGCTGCTGCTGCAAGCAGAACAGGGCCCAGCGCTGCTGGGTGGTGTGGGGCATGAGATAGGTCAGTCCACCCAGAATAATCTGCAACTGACACAGCTATTGGCAGAGTGGAGTGGAGTGAAGCCTGCCACTTCTTGTGGGTGTGGGACACGGGAAGGATAGCTTCCCTCCATTCCTGATGTCTGCATGTGCTGTTAATTTGTGCGAGTGGACCACCGTTGTCACTAAGTATCGCTCTAACCACTATTCTCTGCTCGGCTTCTTTCCCAGTTCGATGACCAGAGAGCGAGCAGGTTCTTCTCTTCTCTCTCTTTCTCTCTCTCTCCCCCTCCCCCCACCCCCTCTGCCGGTTGTGGGTTCCAGCTCAGTCCTTTCCAGCATAGTACCCAGTATGAGAGAGAAAAAGAAAACCTAGGGAACTCACAATGGTGTTATTCTTTAAGTTCTGTGGTCCCTAGCCAACCCACATTTCCCAAATTTTGTGTTCCTCTTCATGGTTGTATTTGAACTATTTCCAGGGTATTTAGTTATATGTACAGAGAGAAGCGAAAAAAGGGAGTCTTCCCATCTTGTCCTGAAACTGGAAGTTTTAGTATTAACTGTTTAAAAGCTGATTACAAAAGTTAGTACCTAGTCATTGTAGAAAAAATGGGAAAGGTACAGAAAATTCCAATAATAGAAAAAAAGGTGTCCAAACACTGTATTACAGAATTTAGCATGGTTAATAGTTTAGAGCAATGCTTTGCAAGAATGTTATTTGCATGGAAATCATCTGGGGGTCTTGTGAAAATTGATTCTGATTCAGTGGTTCTTCATTGCTGACAAGCTCCCAGGAGATGCTGACCTTGCCAGTCTGAATTATTTTGGGGTGGCAAGGGCTTAGAATAAAATATTTCAGTATTTTCTATAAAGAGATATACACATAATGTGGATATCAACTGTCAGGGAGCTGTGGTAAAACTGGACCAGGACCTGCGATTCACAACTGTGTGAGTCCTCTCCACCCCGATGATTTCTGTGGGTCCCCACATTTCTCTGCCTCTGGCGTCTTTCCCTGCTGCCTCAGGGGGTCTGTGCTCCAGTTTATCCAGCAGCAAAGCTTTGTTGTTTTATATGTGTCTCCCCTAAACCCACTTGCTTAAAGAATTTTTTTTTTTTAATTTGGGGACAGTTTTAGGGATGTGTTACACTGGGGAGTAGATGCCATTAGGCATTTATTCTCTCCCTCACTTGTCTTTCTATTCCTACTTCTCTGCAGTGACAACTTCCTCCCCTTGCCTTGCACAGAACAGCCCCTTTGGAGTTTCCACTTGATAAGATACAGTGTCTATCCTAAGAAGAATTCTAGTTAAAACCTTTTTCCATCTTGATGTGTGTGCATGTATGTTTGTATCTTCATTTTATATATGTGACTAATAATAATTTCAGTTGGAAATTATATTTAAACATTTATTTATCACACTTGGGTAACAGCCATTAAAAATACATATGTTGTCACCCTGGCTTGTGTGGCTCAGTGGTAAGAGTGTTGGTCCATGCATGGAAAGGTCGAGGGTTCAATTCTCAGTCAAGGGCATGTACCTGGGTTGCAGGTTTGATCCCTGGCCCTGGTCGAGGAGTGTGCAGGAGGCAACAAATTGATGTGTCTCTATTACATTGATGTTTCTCTCTCTTTCTCTCTCTCTCCCTCTGACCCTTCCACTGTTGCTAAAAAATCAATGGAAAAAAATATCCTCGGGTGAGGATTTAAAAAAAGTCATATGTCATTTAGTGTTAAGTGTTTGGAAAAAATGCTTTGATTGCATTTGTGATATTTTCTTCTTTCATGCTTTCAGATCAAATTCAAATCTTGGAGTCATCCACACTCCTCTTTTTATTTCAGCTTAGTATCTGGTCCATTCAGAAAATTTCCATCTCTACTTTTGTAATGTAATTTTACATCTCTATCTCTAGTTCAAGGTTTCTCAACCCAGACCCTGTTAATATTCTGGACCAATCATTCTTTGATGTGAGTGAATGTCCCGTACATTGTAGCGTGTTTAGCAGCATCCCTGGCCTCTACCAAGTAGATGCCAGTAGCACCTTCTCAGTTGTGACACCAGGAATGTTTCTAGAGATTGCTAAATGGAGAATCACTGTTCCAGTCCTGGCCAGTGTCACCTTCCACCTGGACAAAATAATAGCCCTTAACTGGTCTCACTGTGTCATTTGCCCTCCAGCAACAGATCCTTCATATGACAGCTAAAACAGGTCTTTAGAACCACAAATCAGATCATGTCACTTCTTTGCTTAAAACCCTCCCGCGACTCCAGTCAAATGTCAAGTCCAAAGTCCTTGCTGTGGTCTGCACAGACCTTCTAGATCTGGCTCTGGCAATTCTTCAGACCACTTTTCCTATCACTTTATTCTTCACTCACCCTGCTATAGTCCTACTGGATTCCTTAGTAAAACTTCAAGTTTGAATAACATCTGAATAGCTTTGTTCTTGTCAGGAATGCCCTCTCCCCATATGGCTCAGTCCCTCACTTTGTACAAGTCTCCAAATTTTACTGTCTCAGGGTTACTTCTCTAACTTCTCTAGGTATTATAGCACCCCCATTCTTCCCCTGTCCCTCTCTATTCTCTCAGCCTAGATATTTTTCTTCGTAGCAGTTATCACTCTCATCATAAGTACTTGTTTATTATCTATTTCCCTCACTATAATTTAGCTTCATTAAAGATAAGCTCTCTGCCTTGGCCGGTTTGGCTCCGTGGTTACAGTGTTGGCCTGTGGACCAAAGAGTCGCAGGTTCAATTCTAGTCAAGGGCACGTACCTCGGTTGCAGTTCAATCCCTGACCCTGGTTGGAGTCATGTGGGAGGTGACCAATCAATGTGTCTCTCTCACATCAATATTTCTCTCTCTCTCTCTGTCTCTCCCTCCTCCCACTCTATCTGAAAATCTATGAAAAAATATCCTCGGGTGAGGATTAAAAAAAAATAATAATAAGCTTTCTTTCATTAACTAGTGTATTCCCAATTTCTACAATAGTTCCTAGCATAGAGTAAGTGCTCAATAAATATTTATTACACAAATGCATAAATAAATATAGTTCCATAGAGTCAATGTACTATTGAATGTATTTTCAAGTTTTCTTAGGTCTTTGTATTGCACTGAGGGGGTAAATATTGTGATTAACTTTAGAATATTTAAAGTATACAAGTTAAGAAGATTTCCAGGATATCTGGAAACTTTTAAACTAATATAAACATACTCTATAATTTCTAAACTAGTAAAGAAAATAGTGGAATAAGAATATGAAACCTAATTAACACAAATTAGTTTAAAAAGTGTGAAAACAAGAGTAAAAATAGTCTATATAAAACACAAAGTAAGATGGTAGGCATTCATTTTAAATATTAATAATTACCTTAAAAGTAAACAAATTAAACTGTTTAATTATAAGGCAGAAATTATAAGATTGGATTAAAAAATCTAAATAAGTTGTTCACCTTAAACAATGGCACAGCAAAGTAAAAAGTAAAAAAATAAAAAAGAGTATGGAAGTAATAATAAAAAATACTGGGGTTATATTACAAATAAAATAAAGACTTTAAGTCTACATACAAAATAGACATGCACTCAAAAAGCATTTAGAGAGAAATAGCAACCCTATACAATGATAAAGTTTTATTACTCTTGGAAGATAAGCATGTATTAAATGTGTATGCACCTAATTACATAGTCTCAAATATACATATAAAGAGAAAAACAGACAGAAATGCAAGAGAGAAATTGGAAAAAATCACTATATAAGATTTGATAGATCAAGCCTTTGTTAGAAAAGGAACACGCTTGCCCATTCTATAAGGATAAATTAGTTGTACATTTAGATAAGGACAGTATAAGAAGTGAAAATTGTTAGGCCTATAACACTCATAAGCATAAAAGATAAGATCTGGAACAAAATACATAGAACAAATCTAGCAATATATGGAAAAATTTATTATATTCTAGACCAAGTTGGTTTCCTCACACATACAATGTTTTGTCTGTTAATGTAAATTATCACAGTAACAGATGAAAAGAGAAAAGTCATATTATTGTCTCTAAAGATGCAGGAAATCAAGTTGATAAAATTCAAAATCCATTCATGATAAAAAATGTAGCAAATTAGGAATAGAACCTTAAAAATGAATACATAGAAAACATCATATTTAATGTTGCATCATTGAAGGCTTTCTCCTAGGAACTGGGAATGAGACAAACGGTCCACTGTCAGCCTAACATTATACTGAAGGTCCTGGGCAGCACAGCAAAGCAAGAAAAGATATCAAAGGCACAAGGACTGAAAAGAAAGAAATGAAATTGTCTATTAATCTATATATTTATCCTTATGCCAGTACAACACGTACACACTCTTGATCACTGTGTGTTTATAGTAAGCTTTGAAACTGAAAAGTTTTTCTTTATTATAATTGTTTTGACTGTCTGAGTACTTGGCATTTCCCTATGAATTTCAGTACTGGCTTGTAGATTTCTACAAAAGGATGCTGGGATTTGTAGGGATTGTGTTGAATCTGTAGATCAGTTTAATGAGATCAATATTGTAGTCAATATTGTTGCAATCTTAACATAATAAGCCTTCCAATCCATAAACATGGGATGTCTTTCCATTTACTTAGGTCCTCTTTAATTTGCTTTAACAATGTTTTATAATTTTCGATGTGGAATCTTACATTTCTTTGCTTTACTTTATTGTTAATTATTTGATTCTTCTTAATGCTGTTGTTAAGTGGGAGTACTTCTTACTTTTATTTTCAGGTTGTTCATTGCTAGTGTATAAAAATGCAATGTAATTTTGTATATTCATCTTATATTTTGAAATCTTGCTGATGGATTTATCAGCTGTAATAGGATTTTATTTTTTCCATGTGCTTGCATTTCTTAGGATTTTCTATACAAAGCATGCTATTTGTTAAAATAGATTTTTAAAAATTTTTATTTTTATTTATTTTATTTATTTACTTTTTTTTTATTAATTTATTTTTGTTACAGATCTTTCTCCTTTTTCCATTGACACCCTCCTCCCAGTACCCCTCCTCTCCTCGGCATTGTTGTTTATGTTCATTGGTTACACATACATGCATATGCATTCTTTGATTTATCTATCCCCTCCACCCTAGCCCCCTCAGAGATTGTTTTAATTCTTTCTTCCTATCTGGATGTCTTTTAATTCTTCTTCTTGCCCAATTGTCCTGGCTAGAAATTCCAGTATAATGTTGTATAGAAATTATGAAAAGTTTGGGGGCACTTTTAATTTATATAAATATGTGTGTAATATGTGTATTTGTGTATGTGCATGTGCTGTAAAAATAGCTGTGGATCATGGTAAATAAGCTTGAAAACTACTGTCTTAGAGAAACTTTTGCATATGTCTACTAGGAGACATGTGTAAGGATGTTTACATCAGGAATGCTTATAATAGCTAAAATAAAACAAAGCAAAACACAGTAGAAATAATCCAATATTTAACAAGCAACCAAGAACAAGTAAATAAGTTGTGATATAGGCATACAAGAGAATACTGTCCAAAGTAAAAATGGATTAACCACAACTACATGGGTGTCAGCAATAAACTATTAAATAAAAAAAGCAAGTTGCAGTTAAGTACATATAATATCATGCTATTTCTATAAAGCTAAAAATACATTGATTAGAATTATTCATAGTAGAAAAAAAAACTCCAGGGAATGAAAAACATAAAATTCAAAATGACGGCTACTTCTGGAGAGGTTCTGCAGGTGGAGAAATGAGAACTGGAAAGGGCACATGGGAGGTTTCAAAAGTACTAGTAATGTTTCTTAAGGTGTGTAGTTTATTTTTCATTATGTTATTTTGTATGTATTTTAAGTGAGCAAAAAAGCAAAGCAAAAGTTAAGATATAAAGTGAAGCAGTCTCCCCACTTCTTTTCTAAATTGGTTTCCTCCCCCAAGGGTACGCCAAGAATATCTCCACAGCAAGATCCTTGCACTGTGAGCACATCTGGAGAGGTGCTCTAACAAGATTTACCCATTCCCCACATCAGCTCCATCATCCCGAACAAATCACCCTTTCCCACTTCCCCCTGAATCCACCATCCCCAGTTCTTCTTGCTTTGAGAAAAGAATATATTTGTGGGTCAACTATTGTTTGTTCCATTTGCTTCTTTAGAGAGCTGGTCCTCCCCGTCTAATGAATGCTTCCCTTGGTTTTAGGTGCATTAATTTGGTGTGCCGCAGGTACTGACCCATCCGTTGTATTCGAAATATTTGTTTAATCATTTCAAGGGTAGTTAAATGCCTGGATCCAAGCCACCACTTCCATTTAGAAATTCTATTGCTTTGTTTTTAGTGGACAGGTAGTTTATTCTCCTATCTAATACTATTTTTGTTGTTGTTAATCCTCACCCAAGAATATTTTTTTCATTGATTTTTAGAGAGAGTGAAGTGAAGAGGGGAAGAGAGAGAGAGAGAAATATTGATGTGAGAGAGATACATTGATTGGTTGCCTCCCACATGTACCCTGACTGGGCCAGGGATCAAACCTGCCACCCCAGGTACCCGCCCTTGACCAGAAATCAAACCCATGACCCTTTGGTGCAAGAGCCAACACTCTAACCACTGAACAAGCCGGTCCGGGCTCCTACTATTGTTTCAAGATTGGTATTGTAATTTTTGAACTGTCATCCCCCCAAAATGCTACTGCCAACTCACCCTTCATCACAAGAATAAGTAATACGTGATCCAAACGTGGTGTCTCCATCTATTTCCACTTTGCCGTTTATTACGTCTGGAGGAGCTCTACATGACTTGCCTATGGGAAAGAAGCAGAGTTTGGGGACTGGGTGTGGAATACTTTGAACTTCTCTTAGTACATGAAGACCCAACCTGGCTATAGCTTACTCGAGAACATTTGTAGTTCCACAGATTTTGCCACATTGGGGAATTTCTAAAGACTGCCTCAAAATCAGCCACCTACAAAGCACCACTTTCAAACCTCCCCTCCAGTTCTGTCTTATCCTCAGTCTGCACCTCCAAGAAAAATGTAAACTTTATTTGTTATCAAAGTCTTTAATCTGGGACTCAACCAGCGTAAAGGTCTCAGAGCCTGGGCTTTTGTTTCTACCTGCACTTTTCTTTCCAGTTTCAGTTGTAAAAAATGGCAGATTCTTAGAATAGAGATTTTTCCTCAATCATGCCCTATAATGACAGCTTCTCATGAAATAAACCTGTAATGAAGGTGGCAGGAACTCAAAGCAGTAAGAAAATATGACCCCCAGGAATAACTCTCATATCTACTACTTAGGAAAACTATCAAGTCATAGGTGTCTTCATTCCAAAATTTAAACAATTACATCAGATGTTATGGATGTTTAACTGACACAGAGGAGTTCTCAGTCCAGAGTTACTTACGAATACAGTCTTTAGGCCTTGACCAGACCGAGTTTGTTTGGCATCTGATCGAGAAATGTCTCTTTTGGTAACCAGGGCGGCATTGATACTGCAAAGATGTTCCAATGGGAAACTCTTCCTGATCAGTCGCTTTTGTAGGCATGGAAGATGGAAAATACGCTGGGACTTTGCATTGACCTGAAGACCAAGATCACAGTGACATCAAGGTCAATGGAGGAACTTCTACTTCCCCTCCTCTTTTTCTCCAATATGCTTCATAGATATGATCAAAGAGGAACATGAACACTTTAATTATGGTAAAACATTTGCTTTCCTTAGCAGCAACCTGAGAAATTAGCTTTCTAAATCAGCACCTACCCATGGAAAAAGTCCCTGCTATTTTGAAGGTAATTAAGATATATCTACATCTATATCCATATCTACTTATATTTAATTTATATCTGTAGCTATCCATTTTATCTATATCTCTATATCTAATCTATTCTTTCACTGAGGGGAAACTAATTCATAGCTTTACATTTTAGTCCATCAGAAAGTCCCTGGGCTCTGGCTTCATTTATCCCATCCTCTTATGTAATAAGAAGCATGGGTGCATTTTACCATCTACTTTCTTTCTCAGTAGACCACCCAGATCCAGGGGGACTATAAGCCTCTTCTCTGGCCTTCAGTAGCAGTCACAGCTATTAGAAGATGTTGCCAAGTCACCCTGGCTGGTTTTGCTCAGTGGTTAGAGCATCAGCCTGCGGACCAAAGAGTCATGGGTTCAATTCCCCATCAAGGGCACGTACCTGGGTTACAGATTTGATCCCAGGCCTAGGTCGGGGTCCTGCGGGAGGCAACCATTCGATGTTTCTCTCTCTCCCTCCCTCCCTCCCTCTCTCCCTTCAACTCTATCTAAAACATCAAAGGAAAAATATTTTTGGATGAGGATTAACAACAACAACAACAAAAGATGTTGCCAACTCAGTACTTCAGTACAAGAAAATTCAGCACATGCTTTGTAAATAAAGCTAGACAGCTAAAGCTATACTTTACTTTATGAGGGCATATATTTTATAATGTGTATGTTGAATTAAATATTAGACTATTTTACCTCCACTTAAGACTCAAAAAGTTTAAGTTAAAGTAATAAAAACTACCATTTAGAGTTAAACAATATGTAATCAAGAAGAAATAGCTGTTGGGAAAACATCATTTTACATTAGTTTTAGAAATATGTTCTCTTCTGTTTTGATTAATCTTCTGTTTCTCTCCACATACCCTATTAATTAATTCAAATAACAGAGAGTAGATTGACAGCAATCAATCAATTGTTCAATTTTATTAGGCTTCAAATAATCAACTTTTGGATTTATTGATTTGCACTTATCTTTATTTTATCTTTACTAAAATTTTCTTGAGTGTTTTTGCTGAGCTTTTTAAAAAATATAAATTTAAGATGGTAACTTAGATTTTATTTTCAGATTTTCATAATTTCTAAAATAAGCATTCAGATTATTATTTTATTCTGAGCATAGATTTAGCTGTGTTCTCAAAGTTTTGATGTACCATATCGTTAGTTTTTTGTTTTTTTTAACTTTATTAAATTTATTGGGGTGTCGTTGGTTAATAAAATTATATAGGTTTTCAGTGTACAAATGCATATTTTCAGTTCAAAATATTTTATAATGGCCATTGTGATTTCTTCATTGACCCAAGTCTTATTTAGATGTTTTGCATAACTTACAAACATTTAAGAAAATATTTAGCTATAGATATATTATCAAGTTTTAAAATTGATTGACACTTGTATGTCTCAGCATAGGATCAACTGATATAACTGTGCCATATGTATTTGTGAAAATAAAAGATGTGTCTGTGGTAGTGGGTATAGTGTTTTGGGTATGTCAGTGAGGCCCAATCAACAATGAATCATATTTGCTCAAATCTTCTAGATACTTACTGATTTAGGGGTGGGGGGTGGTCTGCTTATTGTACCAGATGCTAAAGTAGTTGTGTTAAAATCTTATTGTACATTTGTCTTATTTCTTTTTCTAATTCTATCCATTTTTTACTTTACTTTTATTATATTTTGTGGTAAATCATGTGTAGTAATGAGTTTTGCCTCAAATACTACTTTGTCTAATTTATTTGTAGAACAAATAGAAAAGCAATAATAAGATTGTTGATTTATCCTCAATATATCAATAATATTTTGAATATAAACACACACTTTAAAGATAAAGATTGCATAATGCCTTATTTGACAAATCTGCTTTTTTTGGTTTGTTTCTGCACGGCATGTTTTCCATCCTTATATGTTCATCCATTCTTTCTCTGAACATGTATGTTGTTTCTTTTGTATGTACCATATGGTTTTTATTTTTAATCATTATGACAGATGTTCCCAAACTCACTCAGTTCACAATACTGTTAGGGTCTCAGTAATTTTTTCATGTCATTCCTAGACAAAAAAAGAAACATTTAACCGTTTCATTTGTTAGATAATGAGGTCCAAACAACTTAATTAGTCTTCTTTCCACCACAATTTTATAATGGGCTATTGTGCACTGCTCAAATTCTCAAACCTGGGAATCAGATGGTAAACTGCCACCTTATTTCCCATTCTATATAATTTTCATTTAGTACTTTTTTTTTTTTTTTTTTTTTATCACAACCACTGCTAAAAAAACAGCTTTGCAAAGATCTGATGTCATCAAGAGGAACCTACTGCAATCCAATTTATCCCAGAGGTACTCTGACCTAGTAGTTTACACAGTATCTGAGAGATACCGAGTATTGCTGTGCTTCCACTGAAAATTTAAAATATCCCACAGGTCCCCTGTGAGTTCACGAGGTACCTCAGCCTCCCCCACACCCGTTTGGGAAATGTAGCAGTATTACAATCTATGTAATTAAAGTGGAACTGTCTGTTTATATTTAATATAATTGGTGATATATTTGGGATTAGATGTACCATTTTACTATGTGCTTCTTATATTTTGCCTTCTTTGTGATTATCAATTATATTTATTTTATTAGATTATTATGTTACACATTCTTTTATTGTTCCTTTAAAGAAAACACCCATTCTTAACATGTTAACATGTAATTAACAATTATTTCCCCAATGTAAGAAACATTGAAAATTCTAACTCATTTACTTCCCTCCTATCATTTATTCTTTCATTATTGTATATTTAAATTCTACACATATTTTAAACTCCCTCTAGTCATATTCAGTATGTACACTCTGCAGGTTGTTTGTTGGTCTATAATCATTGGCTACTAAGGTGGACTCTAATAGTAATGGACTACCTCAGCAGGCTCAGCTAAGATTTTGAAAGCCTATGTAGACATGTATGGTCAGCTAATAATAAGCTCCCAAATTCACACTCTAATCCCTGGAGCCTGTGAATCTTACATAATATGGCAACATAGCTTTGCAAATGTGATTAAGAATCTTGAGATGGGAAAATGATCCTGGATTGTCTGTGTGTGTATTAAATATAATCACAAAGGTCTTTATAAGAGGGAGGCAAAGGATGCAGGAGAAAGACATTTAAAGATGCCGCATTGCTAATTTTGAAGGTGGAGAAAGAGACCATGATCCCAAAGGATGTAGGCAGACTCTGAAAGATAGAAAAAAACAAGGAAACCTATTCTGTCCCAGAGCCTCCAGAGAGAACAATCTTATGTACCCATTTTAGATTTGACATGCTGAACTATAAGAGAATACATTTTTGTTGCTTTAAGTCAGTGATTTTCAACCTTTTTCACCTCATGGCACACATAAACTAATTACTAAAATTCTGTGGTACACCAAAAACAATTTTTTTTTTTTTTTTTGCCGAGCTTACAGAATAATAGGTTTAATTTTGGTTCACTCACATCAGACAACTATTGTTGGGTTGGCTCTTGTCACTTTTTTTAATTTGACAATCTAAGGGAAAAGAGGTCAGTGCCCCTGACTAAATAGGTATTGCATGTTTTAAGAATTTTTGTGGCACACTGGTTGAAAATTGCTGCTTTAAGTCATTAAGTTTGTGGTAATTATTTGCAACAGCCCAGCCAGTGTGGCTCAGTGGATTGAGTGTTGTCCCATAACCTGACAGGTTCCAGTTCAATTCCCCTTCAGGGCACAGGCCCCAGTTTCGGGATCAATCCCCAGTGTGGGGTGTGCAGGAGGCAGCCGATCAATGTTTCTCTCTCACATCGATGTTTTTTTCTCTCCCTCCCTTCCTCTCTTTCTAAAAAGAATCAATAAAAACATATTTAAAAAAATAAACTAATACAAAAGATAATGGCATATACTGTTAAAAAATTCAAATTCATAGAGACCTGGCCTTGAACCCAATGCCTTTTACTATCTTTGAAGCCTTCAACCTGCTGACAATCTCATTGAGCCTTAGTTTCATCTTCAGAAAGCTGATGATATTTACCAGGTAGGTTTGCTGGTAGAATAAAAATGCAAAGCATTTAATAACACCTTACACATAGAAGGCACTTGATAAATAGTAGTATATTTATTATTTATAGAAAAGAAAAATACTTACAGGTAGATTAGAATCTTCTGCAAAAGTAGACATGCCCACTTTGCTTCCAAGTGTTTATTTTCTACTATGTGTGAAGGGCTAGTTTGGAATAAGCCTATTTTGTTGGGAAAGCACCGGAGGATCAGTGACCAGTGATCTCAGAAGCTCTCCTGAGTGTGTGTCCCAGATTCAGCCTGGGATTTCATCTTTCAGCTCATGGGCTCTATCATGGTTCCCACAAGACCACTGACAAATAGAATTCCTGAAGAAAGTGAATCCAACTAGTCGCTGGGCCTGGATGATTGCTAAATTGCTCTTTTCCTGCTTCATGGCTTTAATAAGAATTAGGGGACTTGCTCTAGGCACCCTACTTAGGCAAAGGATGGTGATCCAAGAAAGCTCATGTTTCTCACTCATTTTTCTCTAATATTAGACAGCCTTATATCCGTCACTACACATTCTCTTTACGGAAGCAGTAGTTGTTAGGCAAGGGTGCCCTGGCTTGCGTGTCTTGCCTCATCTAGTGCCACTCGGTCCTCTGACTGAGCTTTCCCCTTCTTAAGTGTAAGACGTATGTGCTTTCTCCTGTCTATGACATCCTTTCTGTGTGAGATGCTTTATCTTCACTCTGACTTTCGCTCTTCTTCCAGGTCTCTGCTAAAT